GTTCCCAAAGACAGATGGACTCAGTCATTTCGGAAAATGTCACAGCGTGTTCCAGTGACCGAGGCTATTTGCGGCAGTGAGAGTTACAACCACGGAGGACGTCTGGGACCAGATCCAAGCTTTCAGGGACAGAGACTGAATCTGTAAATCATACTTTTTGTCGTCTCTGAACTTTTTCAGCTCAAAATAAGCATTAAACTAGAGACACACACTTGGGAGGAGTTTTCTGGATGCCCTGCTCCCATTGGTTATTCTCGTTGAGGGGAGGGGGGGTCTCTCTCTCTGTGTACCCTTTTTCTTGTCTCTCTCTAGTCTCTCTTTGTTTTGTCTTTGAACCCTCTCCCTGGTCTCTCTCTCTGTCTCTGGAATCTCTCTCTGGTCTCTTTATCTGTCTCTGGATCCTCTCTCTGGTCTCTCTCTTTCTCTCTGGTCTCTCTCTGTGTCTCTGGATCCTCTCTCTCTCTCTCTCTCTCTCTGTCTCTCTCTCGTCTCTTTCTCTGTCTCTGTGTCTCTCTCTCTCTCTCTCTGTCTCTCTCTCGTCTCTTTCTCTGTCTCTGTGTCTCTCTCTCTCTGTCTCTGTATCTCTCTCTCTCTCTCTCTGTCTCTCTCTCGTCTCTTTCTCTGTCTCTGGATCCTCTCTCTGGTCTCTCAGGTCTCTCTCTGTCTTTGTACTCTCTGGTCTCTGTCTCTGGTCTCTCTCTTTCCCTCTGGTCTCTCTCTGGTGTCAACCACAGATGATGCTTGGGACAAAATCCGCTCTTTCAGTGACAGAGAACGAATCTGTAAATTCTACAGAATCTACTCAACTTTTACTTTACTTTTCAGCTCAACATAAGCAACAGACTCGTGACACACTGTTGGGCTGGATGTCCCGCTGTCCAGGGTCTTTCTCCATGTGGGGGGCCTCCACTGTGTCCTGGCTGACCCATCCAGGGTGACATGTGGGTGACATCCCAGCTTATACTGTATATGTGGGTCACTCTCTCTGTGGGATCTCTCTGTTTGTGGACCCTCTCTCTGGTCCCTCTCTCTGGTCCCTCTCTCTGGTCCCTCTCTCTGGTCCCTCTCTCTGGTCCCTCTCTCTTGTCCCTCTCTCTGGTCCCTCTCTCTGGTCTCTCTCTCTGGTCCCTCTCTCTTGTCCCTCTCTCTGGTCCCTCTCTCTGGTCCCTCTCTCTGGTCCCTCTCTCTGGTCTCTCTCTCTGGTCCCTCTCTCTTGTCCCTCTCTCTGGTCCCTCTCTCTGGTCCCTCTCTCTGGTCTCTCTCTCTGGTCCCTCTCTCTTGTCCCTCTCTCTGGTCTCTCGCTGGTCACTCTTTCTCTCTCTTTGGTCTCTCTCTGTCTCTCCCTCTGGTCTCTCTGGTCTCTTCCCCTGTGGTCCCTCTCTCTGGTCTCTCGCTGGTCTCTCTTTGGACTCTCTCTCTTGTCACTCTCCCTCTGGTCTCTCTCTCTGGTCTCTCCCTCTGGTCTCTCGCTGGCCTCTCTTTCTGGTATCTCTCTCTGGTCGCTCTCTGGTCTCTCTCTCTCTTGTCACTCTCTCTCTGGCCTCTTTCTGGTCTCTCCCTCTGGTCTCTCCCTCTGGTCTCTCTCTCTCTTGTCACTCTCTCTCTGACCTCTTTCTGGTCTCTCCCTCTGGTCTCTCCCTCTGGTCTCTCTCTCTCTTGTCACTCTCTCTCTGGCCTCTCTCTGGTCTCTCCCTCTGGTCTCTCTCTCTGGTTTCTCTCTGGTCTCTCCCTCTGGTCTGTCTCTAGTCTCTCTCTCTGGTCTCTCTCTGGTCTCTCTCTCTGGTCTCTCTGGTCTCCCTCTGGTCTCTCTCTGATCTCTTTGGTCTCTCTCTGGTCTCTCTCTGACCACACCAGAAGGCTTCTGCTGAGGGCCAGATTCTCTCTCTCTTTCTCCACCATGTGTCTTTATACATATACATATACATAAGAGTAAGCTCAAGATGCACCTTTTTAGAATAGCTTTTGATTAGTATTTATTATTAGGCCCGAGCCCCGAACGGGGAAAGGGCCTATTGTTTTTGCTCGAGAGATGTCAAATTCTGCACTTTGAGCCTTAACTTCACCCCCTGAACATGCATGAAAAGTTGTAAAATTTTGCCCAAACATCAGACCTGGTGAAAAATTTGATATTTTGGTGTTTATTTTTATGGGACTCAAAAAATGCCAGAACAGCGCCACCTACAACAGCCAATGGGAGTTTCAGAGGTCAAGTTTGTCGTAGAGCCATGAAATTCGGTACACATGTTCCTCAAGTCAAGATACGACCGAAATGTTATCATGGCTCCGCCCTCTGACAAACAGGAGGCCCATAAAATTCACTGCAAAATAGAAAAATGATCCGCAATCATTTTCATACATGTCGGTTGGAAAGCGACTCCTCCTCGGCCGTTTCACCGATTGGCCTCAAAATCGCTCCACATTGCCTAAACACAGGAACCTTCAAAAGGGATTTTTGATCAGTGAAAAGTTGTTTGAGCAGCGGAGCGGCAAATTGTGAGGGTTTTTTGGCCGTTTTTGACAACATTAATTTTGCTCCCGTTTGCACAAACAAAGTCTGATTTGAATCCAATGTTCAACTCCAGGGTTTAGGTCAGGTGAAAGTGAAATATTTGAAATTGGCCCAATAGCGCCCCCTACAGACTGAGGCAAAGTTTTACATGGGGAGCCAAACAGCTCTAATCATCATATTCATTACAATTTGACTAACGTTCTTCTATGGCAACAGCAACAAATCATCACACGGCGGCCCCACCTCCTTTGAGCGGTGCTGCGTGATACGGTGTGGTGCGGCAGAATGCGGGGGGTTGTGGAGCAGCGCGTTGCGGCTTGGTGCGGGGTGGCATGGTGCAGATCCGCTTGGTGCGGGGCGGCGTGGTGCACGCTTTATAAATAAAATTTGATTGATTGATATTTTCTGTTGTCTCTATTTATACATTGTAACTCTTTAGTCTCAAACCTCTTCTACAAATACATTAAGCCACAACTATAACTGTAAACTATATTTCTGTCAGAACACACACTGGAGCACACTATACCTAATTATGAATGATTTTGATTTTCAAATATTTACAGGTGACTGAAATGAACGAGAGGCGGCGAGCACGAGACATTTGTGACATCATTCTGAGGTGAGAGCTTTCTGAACATCAACGTCTTTTGAGTCAATGAAGAAGCAACGCATGAGGTTTTTTTTATCACAGAATTGTTCCAGATTTATACTTCTCATGTTGTGTTTTCACCGTCTGCTTTGTCTTTGTTTGCTCTTTCTTCTTCTGTCGTCCTGTGTCTTCTATTCCATCTCATTATTTTGACTTTGTATTGTCATGACTGTTTTTAATGTTTATTATGCTGACTGTGCAGCGCTTTGTAAACATTGTTTTTGAAAAGTGCTATACAAATACAGATTTATTATTATTATTAATATTATTATTATTGTTATTATTATTATCTAGAGCACTTATTTGTCCATTTTTACTATTCTATATTATTCTTTTCGACAGTATCGTGACTCTAGCCCTCAGCAAATATTATTCCATTTAAATTCACACACACACACGCACACACACACACACACACGCACACACACACACACACACACACACACACCTACACACACACACACACGCACACGCACACGCACACACACACACACTCACACACTCACACACACACAGGCGGCACTGTGGTTTGAGCTTGTGCTTCACAGTATGAAGTTCGAATCCACCTCCAGACCCTTCTGTGTGTAGTTTGCATATTCTCCACGTGTCTGAATATAGGTTTCCTCCAGGTGCTCTGGTTTTTCCTACTACTAAAAACATGCGTAAAGCGCTTTGTGAATCTGGTCTGTAGAAGGCGCTATTTAAACAAACATCACTTACTTACAATGAGAAAGCCGCTCAGTTTGTATTAGCCGCAGGGGGCCACATTAAACGACATCGCGGACCGCATTTTACCCGCGGGCCATAGTTTGGACATCCCCGTAACATACAAACAAATACATTACATTCCGCTCTCTACCGCCCCTAGTGGCCACATACCGACACGACACCCACCCTGCCGGTCCCTGCTGTAATCTGATCGCCTTTGCTTCCCACGGAGCGCAGGGTCAGACCCGTAGCCACCACTGCTGCTCACGAAACTCTGAGGAACTTTAAAGAAATAGTTTTAATGAAGAATTACCAGTGAGGCGCACGGAGAGAGAGAGAAAGAGGCTCCGATCTGAAGAAAACATGAGGTTCTTTGTGTTATTAGGAACTTTAGTCCATTTGTGTGGCGCAGTAGTTTATACCAATGAATGGGCTGTGAAAGTCACCGGGGACCAGAGGACTGTGGATGAGATCGCGGAGAAATATGGATTTTCCAACATGGGTCAGGTATGTATCCCGTGTTTCCTTAATATAGTATCTGTTTTAATATATACATTTTTAATCTTAATTGTTGATGCAAGCTTTTTATATATATATATGGACACTTTACGTAATCAAACTTGCATTTCGCTTTTGTGTATCTATCATAAATATGTATTCTAAATTGTATAAATACTATCATAACCCTATGTCACCTGCTGTATGTGTTTAGGTCTGCTGTGTTGAGAGCAGTGTAGCAAATAGCTGTGTCTGTCTGCTTTGGTTAACACATTTGGGGAGATATTTTTATTTTTAGTTTAGTATTATTTGGTTGTATTTTATTATTTATATATGGTGTCATTGTCACTGCTTTACCAAACACTTCAAGGGCACATAGAGACTTACATTTCCCAAACTGTTGAAAGGGAATGATCCATTAATACCTTTATTTTAAATTGTATATATTCTGTGATATCCATATGTCACCTGCTGTATGTGTTTAGATCTGCTGTTATGAGATGTAGGCAGTGGACCTAATTGTGGCAAATATCTCTTCTATATCTGCTATTTTTGGACATATTTATAGATTTATTGAGCGTGCATTCCCTATTTTTGGTTTTTGGTTTGACTATTTAAACATTGGATCATTGTCAGTGCTGTACCAAGCGCCCCGGGGCCTCCACATTACATTACGTCAGTGCTGCAGACAGGTGGCTGCCTTAAAACCCACAGACTTTGGCATCGCCCTGAGTGGTTTGTGCTGGGACCAGGATCAGGTTGCTCGGTCTAAACCCACAGGTGTAAGATGTCCTCCTCTGTGAAAGATACTAGGGCCATGTACGTCTATAATTCACGGCGTCTTTGCTTTGTTTATTCATGCTTCATCTTTATAAACTCTGATGTGTGTGTTGCCAGGTTGGAGACTTAATGACTTATTACAGTTTCTGGCACAACGCATCAGAAAAACGATCCACCAGGCCCAACCATGGACTCACTGCGGCTGTATCCAAGGAAACCAAGGTAAAGTAATCCGATACCAGGAGGATGGGAAGACTGGGCTGCATTATTAAACTACTCTGTGTCAGCACATGCCCAATTAATGACACAAAAGCACACAGGGTTTTTTACACGTGCGTCTCAGGCTTAAGATGTTCCAAACACAGACGTCACACAAGTCCCAGAGAAAGAGGGTGAGGGTCTGAAGGTTTACAGAGAGGACGGGAACTTATTGTCTTCCTAATTGACTTTCTTTAGTGATTTTCAGTGGTTTCTGAGTGGTTAACATTCCCGCTTCTCAGCAAGAAGGTCCTGAGTTCAAATCCCAGTCAGAGCAGTGTCTTAGTGAGTGGAGTTTGCATGTGCTCCCGTGTGTAAAGGTTTTTTCCCCCGGTTTTCCCTACCACTAAAAACATGCACACTAAATCCGGGTAAATCCTCCAGCTCTGGTCCTGACCGAGCTGAGCATCCACACCTGGAGATGGTCCCAGAGCGCTGTACGGCGGCCTTACAGAGGTCAGGTCACAGAGGTACCAAGTGGCATTTATTAGAATGAGATGTTTTTTCCTACTTTCTCAGGTTTTGCAAAACAAATAGATTGCTGCTCTCCATCGCAGAGTGCCAGGTGGTTGGTTGACTACTATACAATATTTATTTGATGCAACACCGAGCCCTATCGATCCAAGATGGCGTCCTGTTAAAATCAATAGCTTGTCCTCAGTAGCGCATGTGCCACCATGGGCGGCGAAAGATTAGCGGAACTTGCCCATCATCTGGTCCTCCCGGTTCTGCGCAGTGGCTGAGCTCCCATGATGCTCCCAAATACGCGTGGGTGGCTCTCATGCAGGTGCACAAAGAAAAAAGTCCCCCAAAAATCCTCCTTTGTGAAAGCTGTAGGTTCTCTGTCAGCTGACGTCGAGCTGTTTTAGTTTACATGTGTCACGTAAAGAGTGAAAAAATAAGGAGGCCCTAAATGCAAAACTGTAAAATGATGGATTTAATAAAAAGTAATACAAATCAAGATCCAGCAAAAACACAGGGAACGAGGACAGAACCGAAATAGACGGGAAATGACAGAACAGGGAGTGAAGGAACACACACACGGCTAAATACAATAACGAGACACAGATGAGGGCAGGGCAGTTAATCAAACAACAGGAAGCACAACTAAAGACGCAGAGAGTAACACATTTCAAAATAAAACGAGAAATAAGCCTAAACCATGACAACATTGAGTTCTATGGGGAACATTTAGTCTGGTTTAGTCTGCAGCACCGCGAGAATCCCAGCTCCAACTCCAAGGCCCTGTTTATACTGATTATTCCAGGCTATTAACAGAAACGACCAGGCTCCTAATGCAAATTTCTCTGCGTTCACATGAGGTTGAAAAACTATGTAGTTCTAGCGCCCGGCCAGTAGTGGGCAGAGAAACTTTCCAACACTCACACGACCCCCAGCCCCGTGCCCAGCCCCCCTCTCTGCAGTGTACTCACTTCCTGTACCAGACCCTCAGAATGCACCAACATCATTCTGCATTTTAACAGCAGCTGTGAAAATGGAAACTGAACCTAGAGCTTCGCATGGTCTCGTTTGGACGAACGAAGGAGTAGAATTATCCTCTGTGCTGTGCTCGAAGCCCACGAAGCTAGTTAGTGTGCGCGGCGCCATTATTGTTTATGTTTGTTTCTCCGCTACTGCGCATGTCCAAATTTACGTGCAGGGAGCAGCGCGGAGGTGGGGGTCAGAGCAGAGGGGGATTTCACACCTTTTCCCCTCTCGCGGGTGTGAAAGAGCTCCCTGCTGTGCAGCGTTTCTGAGTTGTCCCACTCTGCAGGCTGGATCTGAACACTTACGTTTTCACCCCCCTGGAACACAGTCTTCGTATGAACGGTTGGTAGCAACCGACATCCAACTATACCGTTTTACTGCCACATTGTCTCCGTGTAAACTCAGCCTAAGATAGTAACACCCTATCCAGATATTACACGCACGCAAGTTCATTGACAAGCTAGTGTTCCAATTTGGGTGCACGCTGGAGCCTTGCATTAGATAAGATAAGAGAACCTTTATTTGTCCCACAGTGGGGAGATTTCAACGTTGCAGCGCACATACAGGAAAGTAATAAGAGTATACAAAATATACAAAATAAGTAAGTAGCTGCTATGTTTCTTAGCTAGCTGTAAATGTAAATGCTTCAATACTGGTCTTTCAAAAATATATATGTATACAGTACTTAAACAATCTCTTACACAGGAGACTTAAAGGCACTTATGCAGCGTAATCCAAATATATACTGTAGGCAGAGGAGGTCGAGTCACACCGCATCAAAGGCCTCTCTTACACCTGAACACAGACCAGGGGAGCACACTCACACATGTGTATCGTCAGAACCAGGAACACAAAGCAATGGTGAGGTCATTCTCGTCAAGGACCTCCGTGGTTTGAACTTGGGGGAGCATCCGTCTGAACAGCGACGATCAGATTTCCCGCCTGTGAACGCTGCTCTTTCTGTGTCTCAGGTGAAATGGTTACAGCAACAGATTGTTTGGGAAAGGGCAGCATCAGCCTCTGGGGCCGGGAGAATCTACTCTGCAAAACACTTCTCTTCTTCTCTCCATCTGCCTTCAAACCAGACGACTCCGCTGCACTTCAATGACCCGACGTGGAACCGACTGTGGTTCGTTGTGAGTCGGATTCTCCCTTTTAAAAAATCAAATATGAACGAAGTCAGAGCGACAGGACCTAAAATAGAGCCTGTTATTCTTATCTTTTTTTTTTTTTTTGGTCTCTCTCCGATCTCCCCCTGGTCTCTCTCTCTGGTCTCTCTCCATGGTCTCTCTCTGGTCTCTCTCTGGTCTCTTTCTCTGGTCTCTCTTTGGTCTCTCTCTGGTCTCTTTCTGGTCTCTTTCTGGTCTCTCTCTGGTCCCTCTCAGGTCTCTCTCTGGTCTCTCTCTGCTCTTTCTGAAGTCTCTCTCTCTGGTCTCTCTCTGCACTCTCTCTGAGGTCTCTTTCTTATGTCTCTGAGGTCTCTCTTTCTGGTCTCTCTCTGGTCTCTCTCTCTGGTCCCTCTCTAGTCTCTCTCTGGTCTCTCTCTCTGGTCTCTCTGAGGTCTCTCTCTCTGGTCTCTCTGAGGTCTCTCTCTCATGTCTCTGAGGTCTTTCTTTCTGGTCTCTCTCTCTCTGGTCCCTCTCTAGTCTCTCTCTGGTCTCTCTCTGGTCTCTCTCTCTAGTCTCTCTGGTTTCTCTCTCTGGTCTCTCTCTGGTCTTTCTCTGGTCTCTCCCCGGTCTCTCTCTCTTGGCTCTCCCTGGTCTCTCCCTCTGGTCTCTGTCCGGTCCCACTGAAGTCTCTCTCTCTGGTCTCTCCCTGGTCTCTCCCTCTGGTCTCTGTCCGGTCCCCCTGAAGTTTCTCTCTGGTCTCTTCCCTTGGTCTCTCCCTCTGGTCTCTGTCAAGTCCCCCTGAAGTCTCTCTCTCTGGTCTCTCCCTGGTCTCTCCCTCTGGTCTCTGTCCGGTCTCTCTGAAGTCTCTCTCTCTGCTCTCTCTCTGCACTCTCTCTGGTCTCTCTCTCTCTCATGTCTCTGAGGTCTCCTCTCTGGTCTCTCTCCCTGGTCTCTCTCTGGTCCCTCTCTGGTCTCTCTCTGGTCGCTCCCTCTGGTCTCTCTCTGGTCTCTCTCTGGTCCCTCTCAGGTCTCTCTCTCTGGTCTCTCACTGCTCTCTCTCTGAGGTCTCTCTCTTATGTCTCTGAGGTCTCTCTTTCTGGTCTCTCTCTGGTCCCTCTCTAGTCTCTCTCTGGTCTCTCTCTGGTCCCTCTCTGGTCTCTCTTTGGTCTCTCTCTGGTCTCTCTCTGGTCTCTCTCTGGTCCCTCTCTGGTCTCTCTTTGGTCTCTCTCTCTGGTCTCTCTGGTCTCTCTCTCTGGTCTCTCTCTGGTTTTTCTCTGGTCTCTCCCCAGTCTCTCTCTCTGGTCTCTCCCTTGTCTCTCCCTTGTCTCTCCCTCTGGTCTCTGTCCGGTCCCCCTGAAGTCTCTCTCTCTGGTCTCTCCCTGGTCTCTCCCTCTGGTCTCTGTCCAGTCCCCCTGAAGTTTCTCTCTATGGTCTCTTCCCTTGGTCTCTCCCTCTGGTCTCTGTCCAGTCCCCCTGAAGTCTCTCTCTCTGGTCTCTCCCTGGTCTCTCCCTCTGGTCTCTGTCCGGTCTCTCTGAAGTTTCTCTCTCTGCTCTCTCTCTGCACTCTCTCTGGTCTCTCTCTCTCACATGTCTCTGAGGTCTCTCTCTCTGGTCTCTCTCTCTGGTCTCTCTCTGGTCTCTCTCTGGTCTCTCTCTCTGGTCCCTCTCAGGTCTCTCTCTCTGGTCTCTCACTGCTCTTTCTGAAGTCTCTCTCTCTGGTCTCTCTCTGGTCTCTCTCTCTGGTCTCTCTCTGGTCTCTCTCTCTGGTCCCTCTCAGGTCTCTCTCTCTGGTCTCTCTCTGCACTCTCTCTGAGGTCTCTCTCTTATGTCTCTGAGGTCTCTCTTTCTGGTCTCTCTCTGGTCCCTCTCTAGTCTCTCTCTGGTCGCTCTCTCTGGTCTCTCTGAGGTCTCTCTCTCATGTCTCTGAGGTCTCTCTTTCTGGTCTCTCTCTCTCTGGTCCCTCTCTAGTCTCTCTCTGGTCTCTCTCTCTGGTCCCTCTGGTCTCTCTGGTCTCTCTTTCTGGTCTCTCTCTGGTCTCTCTCTGGTCTCTCTCTGGTCCCTCTCTGGTCTCTCTTTGGTCTCTCTCTCTCTGGTCTCTCTGGTCTCTCTCTCTGGTCTCTCTCTGGGTTTTTCTCTGGTCTCTCCCCAGTCTCTCTCTCATGTCTCTCCCTGTGGTCTCTTTCCGGTCCCCCTGAAGTCTCTCTCTCTGGTCTCTCTCTTGTCTCTCCCTCTGGTCTCTGTCCGGTCCCCCTGAAATCTCTCTCTCTGGTCTCTCCCTGGTCTCTCCCTCTGGTCTCTGTCCAGTCCCCCTAAAGTCTCTCCCTCTGGTCTCTGTCCGGTCCCCCTGAAGTCTCTCTCTCTGGTCTCTCCCTGGTCTCTCCCTCTGGTCTCTCTCCGGTCTCTCTCTGGTCTCTCCCTTGGTCTCTCCCTCTGGTCTCTGTCCGGTCTCTCCCTGGTCTCTCCCTCTGGTCTCTGTCCAGTCCCCCTAAAGTCTCTCTCTCTGGTCTCTTCCCTTGGTCTCTCCCTCTGGTCTCTGTCCGGTCCCCCTGAAGTCTCTCTCTCTGGTCTCTCCCTGGTCTCTCCCTCTGGTCTCTGTCCGGTCCCCCTGAAGTCTCTCTCTCTGGTCTCTCCCTGGTCTCTCCCTCTGGTCTCTCTCCGGTCTCTCTCTGGTCTCTCCCTGGTCTCTCCCTCTGGTCTCTGTCCGGTCCCCCTGAAGTCTCTCTCTCTGGTTTCTCCCTGGTCTCTCCCTCTGGTCTCTCTCCGGTCTCTCACTGGTCTCTCCCTCTGGTCTCTGTCCGGTCCCCCTGAAGTCTCTCTCTCTGGTCTCTCCCTGGTCTCTCCCTCTGGTCTCTCTCCGGTCTCTCTCTGGTCTCTCCCTGGTCTCTCCCTCTGGTCTCTGTCCGGTCTCTCACTGGTCTCTCCCTCTGGTCTCTGTCCGGACCCCCTGAAGTCTCTCTCTCCGCTCTCTCTCCGGTCTCCTTGAAGTTATTCTAATCTAACGGAGGGTGTCTTTGTGTCTTTGCTTCTTTTCAGTATTGCAGCGACGGGGCCTCAGGCTGTCGCTCTCTCATGAACATCGCGGCGGCGTGGGAAAGAGGCTACACCGGGAAAGGCGTCGTCGTGTCTGTTTTAAGTGACGGCGTAGAAGGAGCGCATTCGGATCTCAGGCCAAATTATGTGAGTTCCCTGGGACTGGACTCATCAGCATTAATTGTTATCGGCAATTTGGCAGCGTTGGAATGTGTAGCATACAAAACTAATACAGTAAGCAACTTTTAAGCTAGTTTTTAGCTGGGAGTATTAGAATCAGCACAATGATCAAATATGAGGTGATAAATGCTTAAATCAAATGGTTTTTAACTTAATCTGAGTCAATTCTGAAAAAATTTGCCATTGAGACAAAGCCATTTAGTCTTATTTCAAGAAGTGTTGCTTTATTTTCTCATTCTTTTTAAAACAAGATCATTTATTTTGTCCCATTGTTATTTTTCATAACTTTTTGTAGTGCGGAAAATGTACTTTATCGTCAAATACAATTTATTTGCCATTTGCAGTAAAACCACATTGGAATACAAGTGCAAAAGTTTCCCAGTGTGCACCAGACAAGCACAAAAATAAAACATAGAAAATTGATATCATCATTATTGTTTACTTTTTATGAATTTATTTAATTTAAAATTTAATATGTATATTTTTATGATTTATAATTTTAGTTTTTTTGTTCAATTTTTGTTTTTGAGTGAGTTTAGGTATGTGTGTGTGATATATGTTTAAAAACGCAATCAAAATAACAAAACAAAAAAAATCCTCTGCCAGAGGGAAGAAGCTGGAACATGGCTTCTTTTTCCAGGAGCCAGAGGAGTCATTGATTGATGTTGTTTATTTTTCTGTTGTGAAGGATCCTCTCGCCAGCTCCATCACAAACACAAACAAACAAAAAGATGGCGTCACTAATTCGTAAGTGTTTGAATGTGAAGCTTCCCATTGTTCCGTGTCCTTTACCTTCATCCATCCATTATAATCGCATGCTTTCCTTTTCATTCAATAATAATTAAATCGGTGTGTATGCAAATTCGCTCTCCAGGATTGAGTCTTCTCAGTGAAACCAAAATAGCCCGTCCTGTGCTCATACATATGCATCTGACCTCCTCCTCTTCTTCTTCTTCTTCTTCTGTCTCTAAAGCCGTGGGACTCAGTGCGCTGGAATCATCGCTGCTGCTGCTGCGCCCAAATCTCGCTGCACGGTCGGGGTCTCGTTCCGGGCGAGAATAGGAGGTGTGTGTAAAGAAGGAATTTGCAAACAAAGTCAATGTCATTGTTATAGCCTTATTTTTGTAGCACATTTATAACAACACCAGCTGCCCATAGAGCTTCACAGCCACGAAAGATACACAGATAAACAGCATAAAATACACACATACATGTAAAAAGATGGTGTTAGAAGCCAAGGCGAAAAAATGTGTCTTTTAAACTAGATTTCAAAACGTCCAATGAAAGAGCTGCTCTAATGTACAGTACAGGGGTTGATTATTCCACGGTTTGGGGGCAGCAACAGGTCCGGTCTGTTTGAGTTTTGTTGATTTTTTCGGACCTCACTGAAGCCTACAGCAAGGGTGTCCAATCTTTTTAGTAAGAGGGCCACTTTAGTTCACCAGACTAGTTTAGGAGCCGACATCACGGACTGAGAAACTGGTATTGGGCTGAAGTTGGCTGAATGACACCATGTTTACCATCTCACCAGCTACATAAGCACCATTACTACTACTAACTACTTTTGTTTGGCGAGGCAGAGGGCCACAAAAAATGACACTGAGGGCCGTAATTGGCCCCCGGGCCTGAGTTTGGACATGCCTGGCCTACAGAGTCAACAGCTCTGACAGATAAACCATTTCAACATTTAACAACAAGCATCAGAATCTCATAATCAACTCTGAATGTGACCCGGAGCCAGGTTGAGATCACCGATATCAAAATGTTCCAGAAATACAGATTTTTTTTTCTCTCTGCAGGTATCGACATGTTGAGTGCAGATGTGACGGACAGTGTGGAGGCCCGGTCCCTCAGCTTCAAACCGCACTACGTAGATATTTACTTGTGCACTTGGGGACCGGCAGATGACGGGAAGACCGTGGAGGGACCGGGGCCTTTGGCGAAGCTGGCGATGCAACGTGGCGTCAAAAGAGTGAGAGTTTGTGTGTGTGTTGTTGAGGTTTCTTCTGAGATTTTCCGGTTAAAGGGCTTTACCGGCTCATCTCTCAGTTTGAAGTACACAGTATTTTTTACTTTTTTTATTTAATCTAGGAATAACCAGGAAAGTCCCGGTGAGATTGAGAACCTCTTTTTCAAGGGAGTCCTAAGTAACTTTGAATATTCTCTATTTTGTCTGTGAGCGTCAGTGTGTCTTGGTCTTGTCTCTTGCGATTAATGTGTGTGTGTGAAAGTGTGTACGCATGTGTGTGTGCATGTGTGTGTGTGTGTGTGACGTGTACTTTTTGGTATTGATTCTTGTTTTTGTGTTGTATTGTCATATGTGACTGAATGGCTTAGAGGGAATTGAATAAATATAAGCTTCTTGTTTCAACCCTAATCCCCAATTATTATTATTATTATTATTGTTATTATTATTATTTTATTTATTGTTTTATTATTATTATTCTATTTTGTATTATTACTATTATTATTCTATTTTTATTATTATTTTTTGTATTATTATTATTATTCTATTTGTATTATTATCATTATTATTATCATTCTATTATTATTATTATTATTGTTTGTATTATTATTATTATTCTATTTGTATTATTATTATTATTATTTTATTATTAGTATTATCATTAATATCATTTTCTGTTTGATTGTATAACTGGTGCGCGTATTGAGACTCTATCCTTTGTTTTCAGGGTCGTCGGGGTCTGGGCTCAATCTTTGTCTGGACCTCAGGGAGCGGAGGGCGATCAGGTGACCACTGCTCCTGCGACGGCTACAGCAGCAGCATTTACACCGTGTCCATAAGCTCCGCCTCCTGGAGCGGCGCCCAACCCGGGTTCCAGGAGCGATGTGCTTCTATACTGGCTGCGGCGTACGCTGGAGACGAGAGCGGGACTTTGGTGAGCATAAACACAATGGTGATAAAACTACAACTGTGGCCATAGCTGCCCTGGGGCACACTGACAGAAGAGAGGCAACCATTCTGTGGCATCGGCCCCTTTGAATAGCATCAAATTGTTTTTTCTGTATTTCCACATTATATTCACCAGTTTTGGCACTTATTAAAAGTGAGTGAGGGAAAACCCATTATAAATGACTTACTTTTCATAAATCAGGTGGAAAACCAAACATTTTGACATCGGTTTGAATGGGAGCTGTTGGTTCTAGTAGTCATTCTGGGAGTCGTTTGTAATGTAATGTAATGTTTATTTACATTTTACAGACCAAGGTCATCCAAAGCGCTTTACAATCTTCAGAAATTAGATCTTTTTCCATTGACCCATGATGATGACGGAAGCGAGACGCCGAACACACTGGCTTCAAACCCCCAACCAACACCATCCATTCACTCTCTCATTACATTCAGACCTAAAGTACATGTTTTTAGTGGTAAGGAAAACCAGAGCACCCGGAGGAAACTTATGTAGACCGGGATTTGAACCCAGGACCTTCTTGCTGAGAAGCGAGACTGCTAACCACTCATCCACCGTGCCAAGTCCTACTGTATAAATGAAACTTTCTGTGGTTGTTTCCAGCGGACGGCGGGGGACGGTCAGACCTGTGCGGAGCCTCGTCCAGCCCCGGCTCTGGCTGCGTCCGTGGCAACAGGAGTCATCGCTCTCACCTTAGAGGCCAAGTACCTACAAACAATACTTCTCTGTTATTCCATGTTTTTAGAATGTGAAATCATGTCTTATGTAAAAAATAGATTTATGGCGAAACTAGTATAAAGGGTAAAAACAGATGCGACCTCTCTATGCTACTATCAGAGGGAGGGGTAAGTTTATTTGTATGGCACGTTCATATCTATGGCAACTCAAAAAGCTTCAAAAAACGATACAATCCCATTGAATGAAATCACAGATAATCAAAGTACATTAAAAAGAGTGAAAATACAATTTCCCAGTTGTCTGCGTGACTAAAAAGAACTGTTTTTAAGTAAGTTCAGGGTTCAGATTTTGATCCATTCTCTCCACACAGTGATGACAAGTTTTTGTTACGTTCAGACCTATTGAACATGTTTTTAGTGCTCCGACCGGGATTCGAACCCAGGTCCTTCTAGGTTCATATTTCTGTGGTGCAAACACTGACCCCTTTCCGTCTGGCAGTGAAATAACAGTCTTGCCTCTGAACCGTGCTGCCTCCTGCTCTAAACAACGAAGCAATGCCGTCCTGAATCCGGGACTTACACAGCAAAAGAGTTCACATGTTAGACAAATAGAAACTGTGTGTGTTCCTCGCATCAGTTTCAAAAAATGTTTTTATTTGAATGGAAAACAAAATCATAACAGAAGGACAGCAGTTAAACATTCAAATCTAATTCCTGTTCCTTGTAAAAATCAATTAACTAAACCCACTGTTACTGATATTAATTTTAAAATTGCTATGCTTAATGTCAGATCACTGTGCAACAAATCATTTTTAATTAATAATTTTATCCGTTCTTATGATCTTGATTTTATGTTTCTGACTGAAACTTGGCTTGACCAGAGTACAGGTAATGCGGTTTTAATAGAAGCAACGCCACCAAACTTCAAATTTGAATCTGAAATACGAGAAAATAAAAGGGGGGGAGGCATTGCTGCATTATTTAGAGATCATATTATCTCTCATAGAATTCTCCTTGGAAATTTTCTATCATTTGAGTATATTTCTTTTAAAATAGAACAAAAACAATCTCCTTCTATTCTTATCATTGTCCTGTACAAGCCACCGCAGTCATGTCACAATTTCTTTGATAATTTCACTGAGTTGCTTTCAGTTGTTTGCACCGATTTTGATAGTTTAGTGATTACAGGTGATTTTAATATTCATGTGGATAATGGCAATGACAAAAATGCAAAAGAGCTGAGTTCTGTACTTGAAACATTTGGTCTCACTCAGCACGTGAGTGGCCCCACCCACAGCAAAGGGCACACTCTAGACCTGCTGGTTACTAAGGGGGTTAATATTTTAAATGTAAATGTGGTTGACGTGGCTCTGTCAGATCACTTCTGTGTATTTTTTGACATGTGTTTTGATAGTAAACAACCATATATATCTGAATCTGCAATTGTCAGACACAGACACATAAATGAAAACACAACCAAACAATTCATGGGAATGATAAACTTTGAGAACACATTGTGTTCTACTGTTGACGAATTGTTTAACTCTGTCACCGCCAATGTTATAAATGTTCTGGACATCATCGCTCCTGTGAAGGTTAAAATGATTACAAATAAGCCAAAGGCCCCCTGGACTAAAATGGACTCAGTCATGGTACAGAAGAGAGAGTGCCGTAGGGCCGAGCGGAAGTGGCGAAAATCCAATCTCCAGGTTGATCATGAGATCTTCAAAAATGAGTTGTGCAAGTTTAACAGGGTGCTACGTAGAACAAGAGAAATTTATTTTCTAAAACCAATGATGGCTGCAATAATAATCTACGACTTATGTTTTCAACAGTTAACGGATTAACAAACCCCCCTGTTCAGCTGCCATTCGAATTTGCTTCAGAATCTAAATGTAATGAGTTTGCACAATTTTTCAATGACAAGGTTCAGAGCATCAAAAACGCCATCACCTCCAAGGCAGAAATAACATTACAACAGCCGGTGAGGCTTTTTGAGCTATCGCACTTTGCACCAACAGATAATGAAACTGTCCAAGATGTTGTCTCTAGCCTTAGTTCCTCCACATGTAGCCTGGATGTACTACCCACTAAATTTTTTAAGTCTGTTTTGAGCAGTCCTTTACCTTTGCTCACACAAATAGTGAACATGTCTCTCTCATCTGGAACATTTCCAATGGCCCTGAAAACGGCAGTCATCAGACCCCTCCTAAAAAAGAGGAGTCTAGATGCCACAGTTTTTAAGAATTACCGCCCCATTTCAAATCTGCCGTTTATGGGAAAAATTCTGGAAAAAGTTGCTTACCAACAACTTACAGAATTCTTAGTAACTAATAGTTCCTTTGATGCGCTCCAGTCCGGCTTTAGAGCCAATCACAGCACTGAGACTGCACTAGTGAAGGTTACAAATGACATCCGACTTAACACCGACACAGTAAAAGTCACAGTTTTAGTAATGCTGGATCTGAGTGCTGCGTTCGACACAGTCGACCACGAGATCCTCATGCAGAGACTAGAGCACTGGGTGGGTGTCACTGGGACTGCCCTAAGTTGGTTTAGGTCTTACCTAGAAGACAGGAAATACTTGGTTCAGATAGGAAACTGTGTCTCAGATCATATGGCTCTGACCTGCGGAGTGCCACAGGGATCAATTCTGGGGCCTCTTCTGTTCAATATTTACATGCTGCCATTAGGTCAGTTAATACGCTCCAACAATGTATCCTACCACAATTACGCTGATGACACTCAAATTTATGTCTCACTTACTGCAGGAGAACATGGACCAGTGGAATCACTCCTTCACTGTACTCAACAGATTAGTGATTGGATGCAAAATAACTTCCTTCAGCTAAACGCAGACAAAACAGAATTGATTGTCTTTGGTCCTCAGAAACAAAGAGAGAGCGTTATTCGTCACCTCCAGTCTCTCTCCCTGGAACCTGTAGGCAAGGTCAGAAACCTAGGAGTTATAATGGACTCAGACTTAAATTTTAACAGTCATATCAAATCAGTAACATCAGCAGCATTTTACCATCTGAAAAACATTGCCAAAATTAGAAACATAGTGTCTAAATCAGATCTGGAGATTCTCATCCATGCATTTGTCTCCAGTAGGTTAGACTACTGCAATGGCCTGCTCACAGGTCTCTCCAAACAGGCTGTAAAACAACTGCAGTATGTCCAAAATGCTGCAGCGCGAGTCCTGACCAGGACCAGGAAATATGACCACATTAGTCCAGTTCTCAGGTCTCTGCACTGGCTTCCTGTGGCTCAGAGAATAGACTTCAAAGCAGCACTGCTTGTGTACAAGTCTCTCCATGGCCTCGCACCAAAGTACTTAAGCGACTTGTTAGTGCCATATGAACCGGCCCGGACTCTGAGGAGCACAGGAGGTAGCCTCTTACTGGTTCCAAGAGTCAGAACTAAACATGGGGAGGCAGCGTTTGAGATTTATGGAGCTAAAATCTGGAACAAGCTTCCTGAAGATGTGAGGCTAGCATCTACTCTGGCAATTTTCAAATCAGGGCTAAAAACTGTTCTTTTTAGCTGTGCATACGGCTGAAGGATTTTATTGATACATACTCTTTTTTTTTAATGCATTGTGGTTATTTATTATTTTAATCCCGTGTGTGCTTTTAATATTTTAAGGTTTTTTTCATTACTTGTGATTTTATTCTGTTTTTAATGTATTTATTGTTTTTGATGTTTCTGATTTGTCTGATATTATGTGGGTTGTGAGGCGCTTTGAGTGGCCTTGTGTTGGAAAGGCGCCATACAAATAAAGTTGATTGATTGATTGATATTTCACCTGGATTTCAACATTGTCAGAGAAGAAGCCATTTTCAGGAAGACTGTTCCAGATTTGATCTTGCATGAATCTGAAACGCTGTCTCCCCATGTTTAGTCCTGACTCAGAGTCCCAGCAGGAGGCCAGTCCCTGTGCTCCTCAGAGTCCCAGCAGGAGACCAGTCCCTGTGCTCCTCAGAGTCCCAGCAGGAGGCCAGTCCCTGTGCTCCTCAGAGTCCCAGCAGGAGACCAGTCCCTGTGCTCCTCAGAGTCCCAGCAGGAGGCCAGTCCCTGTGCTCCTCAGAGTCCCAGCAGGAGACCAGTCCCTGTGCTCCTCAGAGTCCCAGCAGGAGGCCAGTCCCTGTGCTCCTCAGAGTCCCAGCAGGAGACCAGTCCCTGTGCTCCTCAGAGTCCCAGCAGGAGACCAGTCCCTGTGCTCCTCAAAGTCCCAGCATGAGGCCAGTCCCTGTGCTCCTCAGAGTCCCAGCAGGAGACCAGTCCCTGTGCTCCTCAGAGTCCCAGCAGGAGACCAGTCCCTGTGCTCCTCTGAGTCCCAGCAGGAGACCAGTCCCTGTGCTCCTCAGAGTCCCAGCAGGAGACCAGTCCCTGTGCTCCTCAGAGTCCCAGCAGGAGACCAGTCCCTGTGCTCCTCAGAGTCCCAGCAGGAGACCAGTCCCTGTGCTCCTCAGAGTCCCAGCAGGAGACCAGTCCCTGTGCTCCTCAGAGTCCCAGCAGGAGACCAGTCCCTGTGCTCCTCAGAGTCCCAGCAGGAGACCAGTCCCTGTGCTCCTCATAGTCCTAGCAGGAGACCAGTCCCTGTGCTCCAGCTAAAATCTGTAACAGTCTTCCTGAAAATGTGAGACAAGCTTCATCTCTGACAATGTTCAAATCCAGGTTAAAAACAGTTCTGTTTATCTGTGCATAAAACTGAAGGATTTGATCTTTACTCTTTTCATCATACTGTGATTATTGACGACTTTAATCTCTCGTGTGACTGTTTTTACCTTGTTCTGTTCTGCACTTTGAGTTGCCTTGTGTGTGAACTGTGCGAAACCAATAACCTTCCCTTGCCCTAAACTTGTTCGCTCTCTGTGGTCAGTCCGGCGTTGACCTGGAGAGACGTCCAACACATCATCGTGCGATCCTCGAGCCCTGAGCGTCTGCGAGCGTCGGACTGGACGACCAACGGAGCAGGACGCAGAGGTTCTCCACAAACACTTTCAAATTCAAGTCTCTGTGATTGTTGCTTTGGAGTAATGGAGATTTTAAAAACGTGGTCATTCCTCAGTGAGTCACGTGTTTGGCTTCGGGCTGATGGACGCGGAGACTATGGTGAGAGAGGCCGAACGCTGGGAACAAGTGCCTCCACAACATGTCTGTGTCGAGGAGCCTCCAGTGCAGCAGACCAGGTTCCCACGTTTATATGATATGATATTTATGGACTTTTATCAACATTTTTTTGACATTTACGGTCATCAGATCAGATTCATTTATTTGCCATTTGCAGTAAAACCCCATTGGAATACATTTGCAAAAGTTCCCAGTGTGCACAATACAAGTACATAAATAAAACAGATTAAAATAAAAATACATAAAACAGGAAACAGCCCCTTATGGAACAATGATAAGATACAGGGGCTGGAAAAATACAAACCACAATTTTGTAATTTTTTGGCCCCCGTTTCTTCGTTAGTTCCATTTCCTGTTTTCTGTTGACCTGCCCTATATCACCTTTTTTGTCTAGCTTTAGCATAATAGCATGATGAAGAAGCAAGTATAAAATGTCTAGCTTTAGCATAATAAAGAAGCTAGTCTAAAATCTCTAGCTTTAGCATAATAAAGAAGCTAGTATAACATCTCTAGCTTTAGCATAATAAAGAAGCTAGTACAACATCTATCTTTAGCATAATAGAGAATCTAGTATATAATATCTAGCTTTAGCATAATAAAGAAGCTAGCATAACATCTCTAGCTTTAGCATAATAAGAGCAGATTTTCTTATGTCAAAACTACTGATTGACTAAAATTCAGGACTAGTTCCACACATTTCCTTATGGATTTTAACCGATCGAACTCCACAAAATAAAATGAATGGAATTGAATTGAAAGGAACCATCACCCTCTCTGCTTTGGGCTTCCCTCCTCCCTCTCTCTCCTCCCCCTCTCCTCACACTCCATCTATTTCTGTCCTGGCACCTGAGCGTTCTGTTCACACATCCTTGTTTTTTTAAATTCTTTTAAATTCTTCCTCATTTTGCTGCTGGTGTGTTGACAGAAGCATTTACCCCGGCTCCACGGTGGCGTCTGTGCGTGAGGCGTCAGGATGTGCCGGCAGCTCCGTGAAGCGTGTGGCGTATGTGGAGCACGTCGTAGTCCGAGTGACCGTCACTCACCAGCGGCGTGGAGACCTCTCCGTCCGACTGCGGTCTCCCAGCGCCACCGTGTCCGAGCTGTTAGCGCCCAGGTACCGGCCTCCAGGGAGCGTCCTCCAGGGGGCGTCCTCCAGGGAGCGGCCTCCAGGGAGCGGCCTCCAGGGAGCGGCCTCCAGGGGGCGTCCTCCAGGGGGCGTCCTCCAGGGGGCGTCCTCCAGGGGGCGTCCTCCAGGGAGCGGCCTCCAGGGAGCGGCCTCCAGGGAGCGTCCTCCAGGGAGCGGCCTCCAGGGAGCGGCCTCCAGGGAGCGGCCTCCAGGGGGCGTCCTCCAGGGGGCGTCCTCCAGGGGGCGTCCTCCAGGGGGCGTCCTCCAGGGGGCGTCCTCCAGGGGGCGTCCTCCAGGGGGCGTCCTCCAGGGGGCGTCCTCCAGGGGGCGTCCTCCAGGGGGCGTCCTCCAGGGGGCGTCCTCCAGGGGGCGTCCTCCAGGGGGCGTCCTCCAGGGAGCGGCCTCCAGGGAGCGGCCCCCAGGGAGCGTCCTCCAGGGGGCGGCCTCCAGGGGGCGGCCTCCAGGGGGCGTCCTCCAGGGGGCGGCCTCCAGGGGGCGGCCTCCAGGGGGCGACCTCCAGGGGGCGTCCTCCAGGGGGCGTCCTCCAGGGGGCGTCCTCCAGGGGGCGTCCTCCAGGGGGCGTCCCCCAGGGGGCGTCCCCCAGGGAGCGGCCTCCAGGGAGAGGCCTCCAGGGAGCGGCCCCCAGGGAGCGGCCCCCAGGGAGCGGCCCCCAGGGAGCGGCCCCCAGGGAGCGGCCCCCAGGGAGCGGCCCCCAGGGAGCGGCCCCCAGGGAGCGGCCCCCAGGGAGCGGCCCCCAGGGAGCGGCTATCTGTGTGTGTGTCCGACTGTTTTAGCCCTTTAATGGTTTCCTCGACCATTCTGTGGATCACTTTTTGAGTCACTTTATCTGTTTGAAGCTTGGAGCCAACATCCACCTCCTTATTGCATCTTTATCACTTGGTTTTAGGCACTTTATCATCAAACTCAACTCAATCTCAACCATTTTGTAATTTCATTTCAGAGACCGGCTACAGGCTAAACATAAACTCCCTAAAGCAGGCCTGTCCAAACTCCGGCTCGAGGGCTAATTGTGGCCCTCTGTGTCATTTTACGTGGCCCTCTGCCTTGCTTACCGAAAGTAGTCTTTGAGATCATAAACACAAGTTCACTGTGTCATCCATCCAATTTCCGCTCAGCCCATATAGACATGTAATAACTCGTGCTAAAGCCCAGTACGTCTGGAGTTCAGTTGTTGACTTGTGAGCTGGTGTGTTGGTAAACATTTATCATTCAGCCAACTTCAGCTCTGTTATAGATCGTTTTAAAGCTCAGAGCAGTCTGATGCCAGTCAAGACAGTTTTCAGCTTGTGATGTCAAAAAGCAAATCTAGCCAACATTCTCTGGCTCCTCCCTCCATGGTACTGGTGCTGGTTCTGGACTGGTGCTGGTTCTGAGATGACCTTTTCCACCGGACTTGTAGCAATTGTTGGGGAACTGTTCAGAATCCCATTGATTTGAGGGAACCATTACAGTAGTTTTCAATGGGATGCGTTTACCCCCTTCGCCCTCTGTTTTTACAGAGTGCGCGCATCAGAGTTATCAGATTTTCTAAAACCTAAAAGGGCTGAACAGAAAATGCCAATTTCACCTTTGCCGCCCGCTCTCCCTGGATGATAATGCTGGATGTTTGGTTTGGTGGCGAGGCAAGGGGGGAGTGATTTCCAGTTGGTGCTACGGCTAAGCTAACAACATCGCTTACTGCACCTTTGACTATGAAACAGTTTTCTTCTTTTTTTCGCCGCCATTTCCCGCCAATTTATTTTAATTCATGATCACCAAATAAATAGTTGACAGATATAGAAAAAAAAAATCATAAACTATAAATACAGAAAATACTGGGCGACAGTAGCTCGGTTGGTAGAGCATTGGCCTTTGAGCCTGAAGGTCATGGGTTCGGGCCCACCACAAGACTTTCTCCACCGACCCCCACTGTCTGCTGTCGTTGTGTCCTTAGGCAAGACACTTCACCCCCATTGCCTAGAATGATTCTAGTGTGTGTATGAATGGTTGGTGGTGGTCAGAGGGGCAGATGGCACATACTGGTTGCCTCGCTTCTGTCAGTGTGCCCCAGGGCAGCTGTGGCTACAGTAGTAGTTTATCACCACCGTGTATGGAGTGAATGAATAATGGCATGTGAAGCTTCTTTGAGTGTAAAAAAAAGGTTCTATATAAAACCAATGCATTATTATTATTACTAAAGAGTGGTGGTGTACTTCCATTTCTCTTCTTAACGGAGAATGATCTGCGTGTTGTTTAGGCCCCTGGACAACTCCAGCGAGGGCTTCCAGAGCTGGGAGCTGATGACGACTCACTGCTGGGGGGAGGCGGCCGCGGGGACATGGACTCTGGAGGTCACAGATACTTCAGCAAAGTCACGCTCAGACTCTGGACCAGGTGTGCTCTCTCTCTCTCTCTGTGTGTGTTGACCGTCACACACTCATGTTTATGGTGTGTGTGTGCAACAGGAGCCTTGGTAAAGTGGTCTCTGGTGCTCTACGGGACAGCAGAGAGTCCGTACGAGTCCCAGAGGAGACGGCGAGCGGTGGCGTCTGTGGAGAACGAGCCGGTGGAAGAATATAGCGGTGAGTTTGGTGAGAAATGAAGAAAGGCAACGATTTTTATATGACGTGTATCAATGTGCATAAGAACAGAGACTTGCTTTTAAAGGAGCAGTATGTAAAAATCTGGCCAAAACTTGTACTGCAGTTTCCTTGACTCAGGTTGCCAGATATGCAGTTGGGACCATAGTATCTGAATAAAGAGTTTTGTCACCAGCAAATCTATAACCAACACCTTTTTCACTAAGATATAAATCCTGGTTTTATTTCTTCGTTTTGTCGTTAGTGATTTGAGATCTTTTTTTAGTTCTGTGGCCACATGGTACTTTACCTCGACACGATGAGTTCTGGCAACCCGGATCACGGACTTTCTGATTGGTAAAACAGTGGAGGGCGGGACATCAAAATGAAAACAAAAACAAGATGTAGAGGCTGTAAAACTACATTTGAAATCCAAATATCTCTGAACGACTGTTATCAGTTAAAGAAGTATTGGAAAAGAGCAGGTTTTATTAAAGCCTTTTAACAGAATAGGGCCCTTTAATGATGACTTGACATGAAATTTGTACAAAATGCACAATATATAGAACGGTTAGCAATGTGGGTCAGAACATATACATTCAGTTTTTGTTCATTTTTGTGTTTTTTGTGCGTTTTCTGATGATTCCGCTGTGACAGGACCATGTGACGCTGAGTGCACCAGTGACGGCTGTGAGGGACCAGGTCCACAGCAATGTTTCACCTGCTCACACCTGTTTCTCAAATTCAAAAACAGCACAAGGTGAGAGGGAATTAAGTTTGATTGGTTCAAATCTGTAATAATCTATAATGCGATTCTGTTATAATGCTAAAGTCAGAGATTTTATACTTAGTTCTTACTTCTTCATTATGCTAAAGTTGGAGATTTTAGATTTGATTCCTTATTATGCTAAAGCTAGAGATGTGGTTGTTTACATGTGGCATATGAGAAACACACTGCAAAGAAATAACACACAGAAATTGCACACAAAAGAACGGTATTAACCACTGTATATACCAGGAGTCACCAACCTTTTTGAAACCAAGGGCTACTTCTCGGGGACTGATTAATGCGAAGGGCTACCAGTTTGTTACACACTTACATAAATTGCCAGAAATAGCCAATTTACTGAATTTACCTTTAACTCTATGTTATTATTAATAATGAATGATATTTATCTTAGTGGAAACACTCATTTTAATGTTTTCTCACAATAAATATTTATAGAAACAGATAAATATCAATATGCAACACTTTATTTTTATATTTTCATTTTTCAAATTGAACATTTTCAAATGATCACTTCTAAGACAGTCTTGTGAAGTCACAATATCACATTTTAACTAGAGCCACTAACATTTTTTATCAAATCATGAATTACTTTGCACCATGTTTGTACAAATAATAACTCATGTAAAATACAAGAGTAAACTCTCACATGTTTAAATAAATCATGTCACACGTGATGAACTCACAGGAGTTTAGAAACCAAAGCAGTCCCATTTGTGCTGCTATTTTTTCCTCTTCAGAACAAAAACATGAACAAACAAAGCTGTTTGAGATAGATGTGTTTCTAGTTTAGGTTCATGTGACAGTTCTATGGACTCATTATTTCAACTCATTTAACTGTGATGCTGTGAATAAAGGCACATTTCTTGTTGGAAACATGGTCATTATTAAAGTGTATTCAGCACAAACAGCAAAACAATAAGTGGTAAATATCTGAGACAAACATGAACTATTTACAAGTGCAGGAGGAATGGAACAGACGCGCTAAGCTACGGTTCAAACAAAGACAGGAACAGTGCAAAACAAACAACTGCACAGTTTATAAGTTATATATATGTAAGATATGCAACAGAACTCTTGTCCACAGTCCCAGCGTATATCAGGCTCTGCCATGAGACCAAAATGCTTTTCCTTCGCTTCCTTCGATGCAGTCTGCTCTGCTCCGAAGTGCCTCGTCCATGCTCCTGCAGCCGCTTCATGCTTCCGCCCCAACACTTCCACGACTACACTAGGCTTTAGTGCTGCTATTTGAGCTACTTTTCGAACAGGCCAGCGGGCAACTCATCCAGTCCTTACGGGCGACCTGGTGCCCACGGGCACCGCATTGGTGACCCCTGGTATATACTGTATATCTGTCAAATCTATAATCAGAATCAGAATTTTTTTTATTGCCATGTAAGTAACTAACAGGAAGTCACAAACTCGGGAACTGCTTTGGTCTGTGACTTCCTGTTACTTACATGGCAATAAAAATTATTCTGATTCTACACTGTGTAGTTTTTACTCTGTGTAGCGTTGAGATCATATATTGTAATTTATAGTACTACGGTAGCTTCGCAGAACAATATGTCGTCTTTGACAGTGGTCCCCAAACTCGGTCAAACTCCTTTTTGTCCCTTATCAACCACTGTAGTTCAAGATGGAGCATTGTCATGTAGAGTCCTCCAGTTCTCATGGACATTTATAACTAAAATTCTAAGCCTATGACAACAATTCAAAAACAAGGTGGAGGTAATTATTCTTACAAAGGTCACATTTGTGAATAGTCAACATGTTCTTTTTTAAATTTGGAGCAACTGAACAAATGACACAGCACCTTTAAGAAATGCTCATATTCTAGACACACTTTGTGCGTCTGCAGGTTGTGTGTGTCCGAGTGTCCTCGGGGATTTTGGGGAGATCGGCGTCGGTGCAAAAAATGCTTTGGGACCTGTGAGAGCTGCACCGGGAGCCGGAGTGACCAGTGCACGTCGTGTCAGCCTGGACACTTCCTGACCGAGGGCCTCGGCACCTGCACCGCCGTCTGCGCTGAGGGGTTCTACCTGGACCATGGTCGTATTTTTGTTCATTTCACATCTGCATTATTAGTATTGTCTAAATGCTCCACACATCAGGCATTTACAACCATGTCATTGAGTCTATACTGAAATTCACATTAAAAACATTCAGTTCAATTGAATTCATTGAAATGCATGTTTTTATAGCAGTAGTTTTCTCGGAGGGCTTTACAAATGTGTTGATTCCCCAATCCAAATCAGAGAATCAGTCCAAATACAGGTTAGTTATGTAGTTAGTTTATTAAGTCTCTTCATTCAGACCACAACAGTCAACAAAACATCAACAAAGCATAAAATATATGACTGAAAGTGTTTTGGCTGAAGTGAAACATTTATTAGATCCAACCATCGTACAAATTTAGTACAATTTAAAGACAGCTAACACCAAACATTCAGCAGATGAGACCATAAATATGTTGTTTATAAAGTACAGTGGGGAAAAAAAGTATTTAGTCAGCCACCGATTGTGCAAGTTCTCCCACTTAAAATAATGACAGAGGTCTGTATTTTTCATCATAGGTTCACTTCAACTGTGAGAGACAGAATGTGAAAAAAATATCCAGGAATTCATATTGTAGGATTTTTTAAGAATTTATTTGTAAATTATGGTGGAAAGTAGACAGACTTGTAACTTCTTCTTTAAGAAGTTCTTCTGTCCTCCACTCGTTACCTGTATTAATGGCACCTGTTTGAACTCGTTATCTGTATAAAAGACACCTGTCCACTGCCTCAAACAGTCAGACTCCAAACTCCACTATGGCCAAGACCAAAGAGCTGTCGAAGGACACCAGGAAAAGAATTGTAGACCTGCACCAGACTGGGAAGAGTGAATACAATAGGCAAGCAGCTTTGTGTGAACAAATCAACTGTGGGAGCAATTATCAGAAAATGGAAGACATACAAGACCACTGATAATCTCCCTCGATCTGGGGCTCCACGCAAGATCTCATCCCGTGGGGTTAAAATTATCATGAGAACGGTGATCAAAAATCCCAGAACCACACGGGGGGACCTGGTGAATGACCTGCAGAGAGCTGGGACCAAAGTAACAAAGGTTACCATCAGTAACACACTACAACGACAGGGAATCAAATCCTGCAGTGCCAGACGTGTCCCCTGCTGAAGCCAGTGCATGCCCAGGCCCGTCTGAAGTTTGCCAGAGAGCACTTGGATGATACAGCAGAGGATTGGGAGAATGTCATGTGGTCAGATGAAACCAAAGTACAACTGTTTGGCATAAACTTAACTCGTCGTGTTTGGAGGAAGAAGAATACTGAGTTGCATCCCAAGAACACCATACCTACTGTGAAGCATGGGGGTGGAAACGTCATGCTTTGGGGCTGTTTTTCTGCTAAGGGGACAGGACGACTCATCCGTGTTAAGGAAAGAATAAATGGGGCCATGTATCGTGAGATTTTGAGCCAAAACCTCCTTCCATCAGTGAGAGCTTTGAAGATGAAACGTGGCTGGGTCTTCCAGCATGACAATGATCCCAAACACACCGCCTGGGCAACGAAGGAGTGGCTCCGTAAGAAGCATTTGAAAGTCCTGGAGTGGCCTAGCCAGTCTTCAGACCTCCCCCCATTGAAAATCTGTGGAGGGAGTTGAAAGTCCGTGTTCACTGCTCTCGAGAAGATCTGCATGGAGGAATGGGCCAAAATACCAGCTACTGTGTGTGCAAACCTGGTAAAGACCTATAGTAATCGTTTGACCTCTGTTATTGCCAACAAAGATTATATTACCAAGTATTGAGTTGAATTTTTGTTATTGACCAAATACTTATTTTCCACCATAATTTACAAATAAATTCTTTAAAAATCCTACAATGTGAATTCCTGGATTTTTTTTTCACATTCTGTCTCTCACGGTTGAAGTGTACCTATGATGAAAATTACGGATGTTTAGTCCTGACTTTGGACCTTTGTGAATCTCCCGTCACTATTTTCTCCTCTGAAACAGTGAATAAAGAGAGCGTGTGATGTGACTCGTGTTTCCACAGATGCAAATATGTGCCAGAAGTGCAGCGAAAACTGCCTGAAGTGCACAAGCTTCAACATTTGCACAGAATGCAAACAGGACACGAGGTACAGTACTGAGAGAGAGAGAGAGAGAGAGAGGTACAGAGGGGGACAGAGAGAGAGAGAGAGAGAGGAGGGTGTGAGAGAGAGAGAGAGAGAGAGAGGGTGAGAGAGAGTGAGACAGAGGGGGACAGAGAGAGAGAGAGAGAGAGAGAGGTGAGAGAGAGAGAGAGAGAGAGAGGGTGAGAGAGAGAGAGAGAGAGGTACAGAGGGGGACAGAGAGAGAGAGAGGTACAGAGGGGGGACAGAGAGAGAGAGAGAGAGGGTGAGAGAGAGAGGGTAAGAGAGAGAGAGAGAGAGAGGTACAGAGGGGGACAGAGAGAGAGAGAGGGTGAGAGGGAGAGGGTAAGAGAGAGAGAGGTACAGAGGGGGACAGAGAGAGAGAGAGGGTGAGAGGGAGAGGGGGTAAGAGAGAGAGAGGTACAGAGGGGACAGAGAGAGAGAGAGGGTGAGAGAGGAGAGTGAGAGAGAGAGAGAGACGAGGGTGAGAGAGAGAGAGAGAGGTACAGAGGGGACAGAGAGAGAGAGAGGGTGAGAGAGAGAGAGAGAGAGTACAGAGGGGGGACAGAGAGAGAGAGAGGGTGAGAGAGAGAGAGAGAGAGAGAGAGAGAGAGAGAGAGAGAGGTACAGAGGGGGACAGAGGGAGGGAGAGAGAGAGAGAGAGAGTACAGAGGGGGACAGAGAGAGAGAGAGGGTGAGAGAGAGAGAGAGAGAGTACAGAGGAGGACAGAGAGAGAGAGAGAGGTGAGAGAGAGAGAGAGAGGTACAGAGGGAGAGAGAGAGAGAGAGAGGGTGAGAGAGAGAGAGAGAGAGAGAGAGGTGAGAGAGAGTGAGAGAGAGCGGTACAGAGGGGGACAGAGAGAGAGAGAGAGAGAGAGGGTGAGAGAGAGAGATGAGAGAGAGAGGGTGAGAGAGAGAGAGAGAGAGAGAGGTACAGAGGGGGACAGAGAGAGAGAGAGAGAGAGGGTGAGAGAGAGAGGGTAAGAGAGAGAGAGAGAGAGGTACAGAGGGGGACAGAGAGAGAGAGAGGGTGAGAGGGAGAGTGAGAGAGAGAGAGAGGTACAGAGGGGGACAGAGAGAGAGAGAGAGAGGGTGAGAGAGAGAGAGAGAGAGAGAGAGAGAGGTACAGAGGGGGACAGAGAGAGAGAGAGAGAGGGTGAGAGAGAGAGAGAGAGAGGGTGAGAGAGAGAGAGAGAGAGGGTAAGAGAGAGAGAGAGAGAGATACAGAGGGGGACAGAGAGAGAGAGAGGGTGAGAGGGAGAGAGAGAGAGAGAGAGAGAGAGAGAGAGAGACGTACAGAGGGGGACAGAGAGAGCGAGAGAGAGAGAGGTACAGAGGGGGACAGAGAGAGAGAGAGGGTGAGAGGGAGAGAGTGAGAGATACAGAGGGTGAGAGAGAGTGAGAGAGAGAGATTGATTTTGATTGACGTTTTGGCACCGTGAGACAGACACACCTCCAGATTAATTAATTTGCCATTTGCAGTAAAACCCCATTGGAATACATTTGCAAAAGTTCCCAGAAGTAAACAATTGACACTTTTGCTTTTTCTATTACTTTTGCACGACATCTGGCGTCTCTTAGCTTTCAAACGATAATAGTTTGAAATAAAAATATGTGTTACCGGTAAGAAAAGAGAACTCCCAGGCCCCCAAGTTCCCTCCTCCCGCCTGCATGGAGCACCAGAGTGTCTAAAATATGATAATCCTAGTCCATGTACATGTTTAAATTAAATAGTGCTATTAGTGAGTAAGTCATCTTTATTTATTTAGCAAATTTTTACAGACCAAGGTCGTGCAAAGCGCTTTATAATTTTCATGTTTTGTTATTTTTTTTATTATGGACATAGTAATAACATTGAAAGAAGCAGATGCATTCATGTAAATGTTACAGCACATCAAAGCTCCAACACCACCACTCACTCATTACATTCAGACCTATTGGACAGGTTTTTAGTGCCGGAGGAAACCGGAGGAAACCGGAAGAAACCTACACGGGCATTGGGAAAACATGCAAACTCCACTGGAATTCAAAACCGGGATTCGAACCCAGGACCTTCTTGCTAAGAAGCTGTCCATTCAGCCACTGTGTCGCCAAGTTATAGTGTTATTATTATTATCAATAGAACTCCCATAATTCTGAAGCTACTTGGGTTATTTGTGTTTTTAGTGTCCTACATCTTCGAAAAACCAAAAGATAAAACATGACATTTCTTTCTTTGTGGCGTGAATGTTAAAATCTTATGTGTTGTGTTTGTGATCTCCGTATTATTTATTATTGCAGAATCATTGAACCATTGTAATCTTTAAACATGATTTCCTTTCTGTGGCCTGTGGTTTCATGAGTGATGGTTTTTCTCCAGTCTTCAGGGAAATCAGTGCTTACTGAGCTGCGCCGCAGGATTCTACCACGACAAACAGGACGACAGCTGCAGGCCCTGCCACGCGGCCTGCGCCTCCTGTGCAGGTGCAACCTCCAACCATTTTTACCATTTTAGTGACCCCTGAAATTGTTTGTAAATGTCACTTTTACACTTTAGTTTCTCAGGAAAGCAACCATAGAGTTACATGTGTTCTAAAATGTAAACTAACATGTTATTAGAAGTTAATGGTATATAAGAGGATTTTCCCAATATTTTCCCAAATTATTGTTGATCATCCACCTGGAAGTAGAAAATTATTTGAAAAACCTTTAAGTTAGGCCCAGGATTTCTATTTTTATCTAAAAAACGGTGGCCCCGTTGTGGTTAAATCTAAACCTTTTGAAAAGTAAACTTGGCCCCCGACCAAAATGAGTTTGACATCCATGATCTATGGCAGGGATGTCAAAGTCAAATAGAGACCAAAAAAAACAAATTTGCTACAACCCGAGGGATTAGTGTTTGCATATAACCTGTTGAACCGAGACCTTTATTTATTGATTAAATTGATAATCCAATATTTTTGTTTGGCTTTGTCAATTATTTCACGTGAACACATTTTTCAACAGCTCACAGACGACAACAAACTTCCTTTAAGCAGAAAACTCACGTCCTGAACATAAAACCCAATATTGACTTGCTTGGTTCTGTGCGGCTGGTTCTGATACTAATCAAACATTCTCCTGGGGGCCAAGATAATTCATTCGTGGGCTCGTTCTGGTCCCCGGGCCTTGACTAAACTGTGCCATAAAAATCCATGTTTCGCTGGATGGTTGTTGATGTGGAGAAGTGTGAGGAGGTGACATGTTGTGGTGTGTCCAGGGCCAGGGGTGGAGTCCTGCAAACTCTGTGCAGAAGGATTCCTGATGGAGGAGTGGAGGTGTGTGCACTCCTGCAGCGCCGGCTTCTACGCCACAGAACCAGGCCTGGATGGGCAGAGGACGTGTAGGAGGTGAGTGTGTGTGTGTCTGTGTGTGTGTGTGTGTTCAGCTGTGGGAGGTTTGTTTATCCACGGCTCTCAGCCTTTGGCCCATGCCCTAGAGCCTGTGTGGGTGAGTGGTTTGGGTGGATGGGAGGAGATTTAATGTGGTCGTGTGGGTCTGTGATCGTCTGTGATGGTCTTTTCCTCAGGTGTGACTCTCGCTGCTCGCTCTGTGTGGGACCGGGAGCCGATAACTGCAGCAGATGTTCGAGCGGCCACAGCCATCTGGGCGGAGTGTGTGTGCTCAGCTCCCAGTGCGGAGACGGTCAGTCAGGCTTTTATTACACTCTGAGGAGGTCAAACATGTGAGATTCTGATCATCATTTGCAGAATAATATAAACTCATGTCTGTGTCTGTGTGTGTGTGTGTGTGTGTGTGTGTGTGTGTGTGTGTGTGTGTGTGTGTGTTCACCAGGAGAATACGCAGACAGTGATGGGAACTGTCGTGTGTGTGATGCTACATGTGTGAAGTGCACAGGGCCAGAGGGGGGCCACTGCATCAGCTGCGACTCTGCACGGTGAGATGACTGATCCACTTTCACTTCTGCTTCAAAAAATGGCCTCAAAGTCAAGAGTAACTTCACAAAGTCTGCATGACGCCCTCTGCATGACGCCCTCTGCATGACGCCCTCTGCATGACGCCCTCTGCATGACGCCCTCTGCATGACGCCCCTCTGCATGACGCCCTCTGCATGACGCCCTCTGCATGACGCCCTCTGCATGACGCCCTCTGCATGACGCCCTCTGCATGACGCCCTCTGCATGACGCCCTCTGCATGACGCCCTCTGCATGACGCCCTCTGCATGACGCCCTCTGCATGACGCCCTCTGCATGACGCCCTCTGCATGACGCCCTCTGCATGACGCCTCTGCATGACGCCCTCTGCATGACGCCCTCTGCATGACGCCCTCTGCATGACGCCCTCTGCATGACGCCCTCTGCATGACGCCCTCTGCATGACGCCCTCTGCATGACGCCCTCTGCATGACGCCCTCTGCATGACGCCCTCTGCATGACGCCCTCTGCATGACGCCCTCTGCATGACGCCCTCTGCATGACGCCCTCTGCATGACGCCCTCTGCATGACGCCCTCTGCATGACGCCCTCTGCATGACGCCCTCTGCATGACGCCCCTCTGCATGACGCCCTCTGCATGACGCCCTCTGCATGACGCCCTCTGCATGACGCCCTCTGCATGACGCCCTCTGCATGACGCCCTCTGCATGACGCCCTCTGCATGACGCCCTCTGCATGACGCCCTCTGCATGACGCCCTCTGCATGACGCCCTCTGCATGACGCCTCTGCATGACGCCCTCTGCATGACGCCCTCTGCATGACGCCCTCTGCATGACGCCCTCTGCATGACGCCCTCTGCATGACGCCCTCTGCATGACGCCCTCTGCATGACGCCCTCTGCATGACGCCCTCTGCATGACGCCCTCTGCATGACGCCCTCTGCATGACGCCCTCTGCATGCATGACGCCCTCTGCATGACGCCCTCTGCATGACGCCCTCTGCATGACGCCCTCTGCATGACGCCCTCTGCATGACGCCCTCTGCATGACGCCCTCTGCATGAGGCCCTCTGCATGACGCCCTCTGTATGACGCCCTCTGTATGACGCCCTCTGCATGACGCCCTCTGCATGACGCCCTCTGCATGACGCCCTCTGCATGACGCCCTCTGCATGACGCCCTCTGCATGACGCCCTCTGCATGACGCCCTCTGCATGACGCCCTCTGCATGACGCCCTCTGCATGACGCCCTCTGCATGACGCCCTCTGCATGACGCCCTCTGTATGACGCCCTCTGCATGACGCCCTCTGCATGACACTATGGCCGCTCCGAGGAGTAACCGTAACTATCACTGCGCTGCCGAACAGAATGTTTTAAGAGATCCACTTTGTTCCTTCGGTTGTCAGACTGTACAACAAACCTGGATTTGTCTTCTGCTGCTGGACACCTGAAATACGGGGGATCAATAAAGTATCTATCTATCCATCCATCCATCCATCTATCTATCCCTAAATCACAACAGTAGTTATCACAGAGAAATCGAAATCGCCAACACAGATCGGAGAATCAAACAGGTCAAACACACAGAATACAGAGCACTTTTGTATTGGTCCATAGGGAGTTGACCAATGTCCATTATTGTTGAGAAATGTCCGAAAATGTAGTAGATTATCAAAGGGAAGTGTAAGCGACTGTTGTTTCTGTCACAGATCTCTGGACGATGGCCGCTGCGTCCTGGACTGTTCTAAAGGAAAGTTCCGGTCAGATGGACTGTGCCTCCTGTGTGACCACACCTGTGCCTCCTGCTCTGGGTCAGGAGCCTCCAACTGCACCAGCTGCGACACGGGTGAGGAGACAGCAATACAGAGCAGTCAATTGGACGGCTTTTGCTTTTAATAAGAGTATTTACTACTTATGTAAATGTTGTGGCGACAGTAGCTCAGTTGGTACAGTAGAGCATTGGCCTGACTGCTGTCGTTGTGTCCTTGGGCAAGACACTTAACCCCACTTTGCCTGAAGCCCCCGCTGAAAGATCTCAGCTCCTATGGACTCACCACCTGCAGGAGGATCAGGGAGGGGCTGGTGCTCTGTGTGATGGGAGCTCTGACTGCCGCCCCCTCGACCCAGAAATGGATTAAGGGGAAGAAGATGGATGGATGGATGGTCCTGGGTTCGAATCCCGGTCGGAACAGGGTCTTTCTGAGTGGAGTTTGCATGTTCTCCCTGTGACTGCGTTGGTTTCCTCTGGGTGCTCCGGTTTCCCCTACCACTAAAAACATGCACAATAGGTATGAATGTAAAGGAGAGAGTGAATGGATGGTGTTGGTTTGGGCTTTGATGGACCAGTGTGTTCGGCGACTCGCTTCTGTCATCACCGTGTGGAGGGATTGGAACAAAATCTGAAAGCATTGGAACATTGTAAAGCGCTTACTCACTTACTTAAAATAAAGTTCAATAAAAGTGCAAGTTGACCAAGACACATATTATCATACAATTTAATGAGGTGCAATACAGAGTTACAGTTAGCAGCGATATGTAAAGTATTATTATTAGTATAGTGTTTAATGTATTTCTTCCAATGTGCTTTCAGACAAGTTTGGTCTGGACCGGTACCTGTTCAGAGGCGCCTGTGTGGACGTCTGCCCTGACTTCTTCTTCCACACCAGAGAAAAGAGCTGTGAGCCGTGTCCCGCCCACTGCAGCGTCTGCTCCAGCTCCAGCCACTGCCTCAGGTGTAACTCCTCCTACTACGTTTCTGACGGACTCTGCAACAAGCTGGAGTGTGGAGAAGGTAACGAGACCGTGGCTTCTCCCTCGACGTCATGTGACTCTTTACTCGTGCCTCACTGAGAAATTTCAAAGTCATAGTTGCACATTAGAGCAGAGTAGAAGAAGAAATAAGAACGCTCAGGTCACACATGGTTTGGTTTTGTTCTTTGGTAGCAGAGAATACGACCAGAACCAGACGTTTTTACACTACCCTTCTACGTTTTTACACTACCCTTCTACATTTTACACTACCCTTCTTCGTTTTTACACTACCCTTCTACGTTTTTACACTACCCTTCTAAGTTTTCACACTACCCTTCTACGTTTTCACACTACCCTTCTACGTTTTCACACTACCCTTCTACGTTTTCACACTACCCTTCTACGTTTTTACACTACCCTTCTACGTTTTCACACTACCCTTCTACGTTTTTACACTACCCTTCTACGTTTTCACACTACCCTTCTACGTTTTCACACTACCCTTCTACGTTTTCACACTACCCTTCTACGTTTTTACACTACCCTTCTACGTTTTCACACTACCCTTCTACGTTTTCACACTACCCTTCTACGTTTTTACACTACCCTTCTAAGTTTTCACACTACCCTTCTAAGTTTTCACACTACCCTTCTAAGTTTTCACACTACCCTTCTACGTTTTTACACTACCCTTCTAAGTTTTCACACTACCCTTCTACGTTTTCACACTACTGTACCACCTGCTTAATATCATTAAGTTAGAGATTTCAGACTAGGTTCTAGAGGAGTAGGAAAGAGAAAGAATTCAAGTTGATTCATTTCAATATAACAATTGCACTTAAATCAAAACAAGTGATAACATGTAGAGCTTCTTTAAAAAAATAACATAAAAGTAGTTTGATAGTCTTTAGTCTCGATATACAGGAATGTTCAGTGTGAAAGTGGTCTTTCGCAACTTGTTGTCCGTTGGGATATGTATTTGTTGTTCTTATCTGGGATCCAAAGGATTTATCCAGAAACCAGAACAGCTGGCCACACTGTTCCAGAGTCTAGAAGTGAGTTCACTGGGTCTGGCTCGCCATCAACTTCAGTGTTCAACTCCAAGATCCGTTTCCAGCAACACTAAAAAAACAAGAAACAACCACACTCCACACGGTTTGATTTTTGAGCAAGACACTTTAAAGCATGTGCAGCTTTCTCATCTGCTCTCCATGTCTCACTGCGGACTCCAGCTAGACACAGGCCGAGTGTGCCTAAGGTGTGTTCAAGTCAGGTAGGATAGGTGTGTGGTGCGTTCAAGGGGCGTTGGAAATAAGGGCTTTCGACGATGTTATACTAGTAACCATGGATTTACATGGGTTACACTACCCTTCTACGTTTTTACACTAACCTACATTTTTTTGCTCTACCCTTCTACGTTTTCACACTACCCTCCTAAGTTTTGTACAAAGTGCAGACCATAATAAATGTCATATTTGAGTTGAATCTTTTTTTCCCTCAATTTCTGTAACGCCTTTGAATAATATGAGGGACACGAATCACAACACATCACAAAACTTCCTGTATCGCAATATGTTAAAAATCGCTATAACATTGAATGACAGCCCAAATATCACGATAAAAGTACAGTTGTTACTTGTGGTTGTTTATCTGCACCATCCTCCTGACCTTGATCATTCTCCTCCACCTGCCTTGACTTTCTCCGGCTTGTGTTCTCTCAGGGGAGGTGGAGGATCCAGATTACGACGACTGCATGGCCTGTGAGGAAGGCTGCAAAAAGTGTGTGTTATGTAAGTCACCGCTGTCCGACCTTCGCAAAGTTATATGTCGTTCAGTTAACCCTCAGACCTTGCTGCATGATTCAAAATGGTGGTTCCAGTCTGATGGAGAGCTTGCTTTTGTATTCTGCGTTTAACAGATAACCCTAGACATTGCCTGTCCTGCATTGAGGGCTTTTACAAGTAAGGTTGTGTGGCCTTGGTGTGACTGCTCTAACCACAGGGGTGTCAAACTCATTTTGGGCGGGGGGCAAATCTAAACACAAAAGAGCTGGTTGGGGCCTAAAAAAATAAAAAAAAGAATGAAAAAACATACATGAAAAAAACATGCATATTTTACTTTTTTATTGTTACAAATGAACAATATTTAACACAAGTTTAGTAATTATTTTCTATATATTCAACCACAACTGGGTCAAATATCAAGATAAAATGTACACTGCAATAATGTGATGTGATAATTGCTTGAATTTAGTGTTTTTAATCTTAATATACACAAAATATACCCTTAAAATATATCCCTTTTTTGTGTATTTGAAGACTTACTATAACTTCTTATTTATTAATTTAATGTTATTGTTTCTTTTGTTTCCTTTTTAAAAAAATGATCATTATTAACTTTATATTTATTTTAGCTTATTTTCTCTCCTCATGGCATCTTATTTATTTATTTTTTTCTAAATAACTGTGGTCAAACTGTCTGTAAAACGCTTATTGATTAATGTATGACTGCAAAAGAAAACGAATAAATTATGAATTACAAAAAAAAAACAATTATAACTTCTATCTACATTTCAGTTAAGCTTTTTAGAACAGATTCAATTCTATGGTTGTTTTCCTGAGACAGTCGGCTTTAAAATGAAGTATAACATGCCATACACTCCCTTGGAATGAGACAACATAGCAACTGAAAAAACACTTGATTCAAGTAATTATTACTGCATATTATGGATTTGTTTTGCAGTGTAGCAGCTCATCACCGTCAATGCTGTACGTGACTGAGATAAAGAACATTTAAAATCATTTCATGGGCCACTAAAAACGGTCTTTCGAGGCGGATTTGGGCCAGATTTGAGTTTGACATCCCGGCTCTGACCCCAGAACTTGCTCTTTTGCTTCTTTGCGATGTATTTTGAAGGCTCTGATTGCTGTGGGTTGTGGGTGTGTTTGTTAAAAAAAAAAAAAAAAAGGAAAAGTCCATTGTTTTGATGTTTTTTGTGAGAATGTGTGGTCAGTTTTCAGGACGGCTGCTTCAAAAACTGCCCGGCGAAGACGTACAGCGTGGAGGAGGAGATGACCTGTGTACCATGTGACGAGAACTGTGTGAGCTGCGACCAACACGAGTGCTACTGGTGCGAGTCCGACCTGTTCCTCTCAGGTACGGCCGGTTCTAGTCCATTTATATACGCGTGTAGACCGTAAATCACAACAATAGTTTTCTCTGAGGACTTTACAAAGCAGAGGACCAATGTTTAGAGACCAGAGAGAAGGACCAGAGAGAGGGACCAGAAAGGGACCAGAAAGAGAGAGACCAGAGAGAGGCCAAAGAGGGGGACCCGAGAGAGACCAGAAAGAAACGAAAGAGAGGCCAGAGAGCCAGACCAGAGAGCAGGACCAGAAAGAGACGCACGAGAGAGAGACCAGAAGGAGGGACCAGAAAGAGGCAAGAGAGACCTGAGAAAGACCAGAAAGAGACCATAGAGAGAAGCCAGAGAGACCAGAGAAAGGGATCAGATAGAGACAAGAGAGAGACCAGAGGGCGAGAGAGAGAGAACAGAGCGAAAGACCAGAGAATGAGAGAGACTAGAGAGCCAGAGAGCGAGACCAGAGAGAGATCAGAAAAAGACGAGAGAGAGAGACCAAATAGAGATAAGAGAGAGAGAGCCAGAGAGAGACCAGAGTAAGACCAGAGAGACACCAGAGAGAGGGACCAGAAAGAGACGAGAGAGATAGACCAGAGACAGAGAGATGAGAGAGAGACCAGAGAGAGATCAGAAAAAGACGAGAGAGAGAGACCAAATAGAGATAAGAGAGAGAGAGCCAGAGAGAGACCAGAGTAAGACCAGAGAGACACCAGAGAGAGGGACCAGAAAGAGACGAGAGAGATAGACCAGAGACAGAGAGATGAGAGAGAGACCAGAGAGAGATCAGAAAAAGACGAGAGAGAGAGACCAAATAGAGATAAGAGAGAGAGAGCCAGAGAGAGACCAGAGTAAGACCAGAGAGACACCAGAGAGAGGGACCAGAAAGAGACGGGAGAGATAGACCAGAGACCGAGAGATGAGAGAGAGACCAGAGAGAGATCAGAAAAAGACGAGAGAGAGAGACCAAATAGAGATAAGAGAGAGAGAGCCAGAGAGAGACCAGAGAGACACCAGAGAGAGGGACCAGAAAGAGACGGGAGAGATAGACCAGAGACCGAGAGATGAGAGAGAGACCAGAGAGAGATACGAGAGAGACCAGAGTGAGACCAGAGTAAGACCAGAGAGAGAGACCAGAAAGAGACGGGAGAGATAGACCAGGACGAGAGAGACCAGAAAGAGACAAGAGCAAGACCAGAGATTCAGATTCTGTTTATTTGAAATTGTTCGGAGTAAAGCAACATTAAGCTCTTCTGTCCTTCCTGGTTTTCAGAGGGGAGGTGTGTGGAAGTGTGTCCCGATGGTTTCTATGGAGACGAAGACACCAACGACTGCGAGGAGTGCCACCTGGACTGTGAGACCTGCAGCGGACCAGAGGAGGACGACTGTGACTCGTGCGAGGACGGGAAGACCCTGGAGAACGGCCTGTGTGTGTTCGAACACGAGGCCTGCCCCGCCACCACCTACCGCAGCGGTAAAACTGATATTTAAGACTTCTGATAATCAGACCAAGGGTGCAATAATGAAGGAGGGATTTGAGCAATTTCACAGGTGCGGAAAGACATCAGTGAAAGTGATTGGTCTGTGAGAGCGATTACAGGAGTTAGTACAAAAGTGACTTCTATTGTGTGTGTGTTTGTTTGATGTTTGTGTGTGAACAAAAATTCTCACATTCTGACCAGGATTGTGAGAATAACATTGTCAGGCTACTCTCCTCAGCATACAGTACTTGTTCAGTTCCAATTAGGTAAAACAATCCATGAAGTGAGGGGGTTTCCATCTTGTAGCATCTTTTTGTTGTGTCCAAGCCGAGAGAAGTCACTCAGAAGAAGGACCAGCAGAGAACCAGGCACTATACATATTGTTGTTTTTTGAAATGCGTTTCTTTATAGTACATTATAGTACAGGGGCAACAGTGTCTCAGTTGGTAGAGCATTGGTATTACGAGCCACAAGGTGGTTGTGTCTAGGAGTGTGGCTCAATAACAAAATTAAAACCCGGTGTGGAACAGAGACGGGAGGCGGAGGTCCAAAAAGTAACAGGTTTATTAAAGATGTGCAAAAGAACCAAACAAAATGCTCAGAGGAGGTGAAGTACAGACGCAGGACCCACTGGTCCAATGGACTGTCGAAATGGAAGAGAGCAGGCCTGGTCTGGATCCAGGCCCTTTATACCTCCCAGCTGATTACCCCACAGGTGTGGGTGGGACGTCACTCAGCTGGAGGTGGGAGGGTCTGACCCACCTGTCAGGAGAAACACAAAATGCCAAAACCAAAATGACTTTGATGAACATCATAGTTCAGGCCCAGGTGGTCAAAAATATACATTCATGAAATACAATTGAAGTTACACACATCACCTTTAAAAATGATAGTGAATAGTTGCTTGTCTTTGCAGACGATGGAGGCTGTGAGGACTGCCATCCGTCCTGTGAGGCCTGCTCCGGAGACGAGAAAACACAGTGTACCAAATGTGCAAAAGGTATCATCATGTTGTTGTTGTTGTTGTGCGATGGCTCAAAATACTTGGAGAACTAATTTAACTAATATACAAACTATCATAGTCTCTTTTTAAGTATTCATTTTTACTTTACACAAACAGTAAATGTAATACACACAAGAACACGATGAAAACAGCCGTTAAAGCCGTCATAAGAACATAACAAAGGTGTTGTGTTTCCAGGACGCTTCCTGAGCCCGCAGCAGACGTGTGTGTTGAAGTGTCCCGGGACCTTCTTTGCGAATCGCTTCAGCAGTGTGTGTGAGGCGTGTCCCTACGGCTGTTTGTCGTGTGTGGACGCACAACACTGCACACGCTGTCAGGGAAACCGCTACGCACCGCTGTACCTGCAGAACGGCCGCTGTGTGGAACAATGCGCCAGGTTCAATATCGCCATCATTTTTTTATCCCTACAACTCCCACAGCAGTCAATTTGACGGCTTTTAGTTCTGGAAGTGTAAACAATCCCCTTATGTATGTTTTTGGTCGTCACTGTTTTTATATGGAGTTTATATATATACAGTATGTCATTATGTGTATGAAATTATCTGGTTCTGGACTGGTTTTGGACTGGTACTGGTATGGTTCTGGACTGGTTCTGCACTGGTTCTGGACTAGTTCTAGACTGGTTCTGGACAGTTTCTGGATTGTTCTGTACAGGTACTGGACTGTTGTGGACTGGTTCTGGTCTGGTTCTGGAGTGGTTCTGCACTGGTTCTGCACTGGTTCTGATCTGGTTCTGGACAGTTTCTGGACTGTTCTGAACTGGTTCTGGTCTGGTTCAGTTCTGGTCCTGGACTGGTTTAGAACAATCTTAGTGGTGTTAATATAACTGAAATACAGCTAAAACAGTTTGTTGAAAGGCTAACGCTAAAGACCAAATGCTAACAGCTGTGTTGCTATGGTAACTAGTACCGGCATCAAGCTTCATATCATGAAGAAGCTCCATCCAAGCAGTACATTGACACCACAACCCTCCTCCTGCCCATCTCCGCCTCGTTCAGGGCCAGCTCTTTCATCCTTCTCCTAAACTACCACCACCAGGGTCTAGGCCCCGGGGGACTTCATCTCGCTGTCAACAGTTTGGCAAAGGGGGCTTGGCTGAGCTGTGTGATTGGCTGAGGCTGGAGAGGCTGGCCCTGGATGGGATGGAAATTTCAGCATGAGGTCTTCCAGTCTGAATTTGCGCGCTTCATCACATGTCATCTTGTAAATACTGTCCTCAAAGTCATACGTGTAATTTATGTCGGGGGACCTAATAATATCCATGTTTTGTCTGTTCGTGTCTCTCCAGATTGAAATAGAAACAGAAAAAGTCTTGAAGTTTTGAAGACCACAAAGACACAAGAGCAGACTAATCACATTTACAGAACTCAGAGCCGTCAAATCGACTGCTGCGGGAGTTTTAGTAGTTTCCGAATCCTGGCAGTCCTGGTGTTAATACATGTATCTTTGTCGTCCATCCCTGACAGGGGGTATCCAGCCGGCCTGGTGTGTCGCAGCTGTGATCCAGGCTGTGCTTCCTGCCTGAGAAACAGCAGCTACTGTCTTGTCTGTGACCCGCCTCTGCTCCTGCACCAGCACCAGTGTGTAGAGGACTGTCCTGCAGCCCACACCCTCAGGGACGGGGCGTGTCAGCGCTGCCCACCCGCCTGCTCTGAGTGCCATCCACTGGGACAATGCATCGGTATTGTTAATGATATACAGTACACCCTAATTTTTGGATTATAACTCGCTCCGGAGTAAGTCGCACCACCTGAAAATGCATAATAAAGAAGGAAAAAAAGAATAGATATTTAATCTTGAGTCAATTTCACTGTCAATAATCTGTTAGATGCAGTTTTGATATAGAGTAGGAGCAAAAATATCTATTTCTACACCACAACAGAAGCTAGAGTCCTAAATTGCACAATAGTATTCAGTACTGGTATATTTCTTAATTCTTTGGGATCTTCTCACTAGCTTAATCGCTCAACTTAACAGCCCGGGCTATTTTTTGATATTTTACACTAAATAAAATATAAAATTTTAGATAACTAATTTCACATATAAATCACTGCAGAGTATTGATCACACGCCAAACTATAACAAAAACTGTGACTTATAATCCTAAAAGTTTGTCCCACATTTGTTGTATATCTTTATCTGGAAGCATCAAGCAAAGGAAGTGACACATTTGCGTTTTACAGAAACATTGTATTTTTGACCGTATATTGAGGTATTTTCAGATGGTTGGTTTTGTACTTTAGCAGCAGAGAATATGACCAAATAAACAATGGTAGTATGAATGATTTAAACAGAATGATTTAAACAGGGCGACAGTGGCTCAGTTGGTAGAGCCAGGTTGAGCCAGAAGGTCGTGGGTTCGAGCCCACCACAAGACTTTTTCCACCGACTCCCACTGTCTGCTGTTGTTGTGTCCTTGGCAAGACACTTAACCTCTGGGAACACCTGGTGCCACAGTGGGGGCTGTAAAGTGCCAGACTGCCGTTGTGTCCTTAGGCAAGACACTTCACCCCCATTGCCTAGAATGTGTCTGGTGTGTGTGTGTGTGTGTGCATGGTTGGTGGTGGTCGGAGGGGCTGATGGCACAGACTGGTTGCCTCGCTTCTGTCAGTGTGCCCCAGGGCAGCTGTGGCTACAGTAGTAGTTTATCACCACCGTGTTTGGAGTGAAAGAATAATGACATGGGAAGTGTCTTTGAGTGTCCAAAAAAGCACTTTATAAAACCACTGCATTATTTACTATTATTATGATGATGATGTAATAAACTAGAGATTACCCATACTAGCTTCTTTATTATGCTAAAGCTAAAGAATGTATTTTATGTTAGTATAGAGTTATCGTTCATGTATCTTGTGCTGTGTGCTCCTCATTCCTGTTGTTCTGTAACTTGTGATGCAACACTGACATTTCCCCACAGTGGGACAAATGAAGGATCTCATAATCGTAATAATATAGCAATAATATTTACAGGTGAAAAGACTGGTATATATGTTTCAAAACTGCAAAACATTATATGAGGTAATAATTGCTGGAATCAAGTGGTTTTTATGTAATTTGAGCACATTCTGACTTAAAACCAGATTCTCCAATGGGACAGAGCCGTTGAGTCTTATTTAAAGAACTGTTGCTTTATTACTTGCATCTTTTTAAAACAAGATCATTTTGCCTTGTCCCAAATCTTGTTTTAAGACTCAGTCAAAATGTGCTCAAATGAAGCTGGACTTAGCCAAATTTGAGCATTTTTTTACGCATTTTTCATCACTTTTTTTTGCAGTGAAATGATTGTTGTAACTTTTGTTTTTGCGCAGAATGTGAAGAGTCCCACTTTCTGCACGAAGGCCTGTGTGTGTCGGAATGTCCCGCCAGGTTCTTTGTGGACGCGGAGCAGAGAGAGTGTTCGCGGTGCCACCCCGACTGTGCCGAGTGCCACGGACCGGACGCAGACCACTGTGAGACCTGCGTGGATCCTGAGGCCGCGCTTCTCAACGGGGGGTGCGTGACCTCCTGCTCCTCGCAAAGATATCGGGACCAGGACTCCGGAGACTGCGAAGGTGCCACAGTAACATCTGCTCACCTTTCATTGTGTTCATAGTGTATTTGATTGTTCTCGTGCTTTTTCCAACTCAATTCTGGTTCGTTATTTGGTGTATACCGGAAACAATGATAAAATATGAAGTAATAATTGCTTTTATTGAGTGGATTTCATTCAAACCACTCAATTCAAGCAATCAGTACCTCATATTTTATCATTTTTTTGCTGTGAATTTCTTGTATCTTTTTAAAACAAGATAATTTTGCTTTGTCTCATTGGCTAATCTTGTTTTAAGGCAGTCAAATTAAGATACATTTAGCATTTTTTTTTAACTTATTTTCATCAATTTTTGCAGTGTATAGCCTTAAATTCAATAAAAATTCAATGTATTTTTTGTCCTGCCCTAAATCCCAACAAAATCCTCAAATTCGCCAACGACAGATCAGAGAATCAAACAGTTCAACCACAGAACATTTAATGATAACAAACACACGGTGGCGCAGTGGTTAGCGCTTGTCCTTTACATAAGAAGGTCCTGGGTTCAAATCCACCTCTAGATCTTTCTGTGTGGAGAAATTTTGCATATTCTCCCGTGTCTGCCTGGGTTTGCTCCAGGTGCTCCGGTTTCCCCTACCACTAAAAACAAGTACAAAAGGTCTGAATGTAATGAGAGAGTGAATGGATGCGGTGACAAGGGTCGGAGTCTCGTTTCTGTCATGACCACGATCTCTGAAATGTGCGATATAAATAAATACTACTTCCTTACTTACAATAGGAGCCATTGGTCCATAGAGAGAACGGTGACAGATGCCCATAAATGTCAATAAATGTGTATAAATGTCCATAAAAATATCCCAGATGCATCAGCAAGGCACAACTTTTGAAAATCTTTGACCGTCAAAACCCAAAATCCATTTAATAACAGAAACTTGTGCCAATTTTTGAGACCCAACGAGTTCCTTTTTACGCTCTCTCAGACGTTGAAAATCTTCTGTCGGGTCCAAAAATAACGCTTTGTTTGACAGCTGTCAGAGTCACGAACTGAAGCCGAGACTGGTCCCTGGAGAAAGAAACACGGCTCTGCGTCTGGGTAAAGGCTGGATCAAACACACATAAAAGTCAACAAAAAAAAACAGGCAAAACAAAGGATTTTTCCCACTCACACAAAAACTAAAAATGTAGTCAAGTAGCATTAAAGTAAAATAAAAATTATGATAAAAGATAGAATAATGATAAATGATGTATTATCCAATCCTTGAAGTTAATTACTTTATACTAGTTAAAGATGCAGTCAGTGATTTTTTTCCAGACGCTTTTTTTTTTTTTATAATTGTGGGAAAGCGTCTCTAAACCCTAAAAGTATCAAGTTATCATGTGTTTGCAGATAGTAATGGACTTGACCTGATGCCTATAGTCTACAAAAATATTTTGGAGCGCACCGATAAAAATAGACCAATGGGGTTCGTTCATTCCTAACGAACCAATGGGATGCCTTTACCCCCTTCACCCTCTTCCTGTTTCTCTCGAGTGCACCGGAGTTATCGGATTTTCTAAAACCTAAAAGGGCTGCACAGAAAATGCCAATTTCACGTTTGCCGCCCACTCTCCCTGTTGTGACAAAGAAAAGAAAATGCTGGATGTTTGGTTTGGTGGAGAGGCGAGAGTGGGTCTGAGTTGTTGCTACGGCTAAGCTAACATTTCTCACTGCGCCTTTAATGAATTAGTTTAATAAAAATAAACCTAATTTTCCCCATCACTTTTATTTTTTGGACAGCTTTATCATTTGTCTTTCTTGTCCATTTATTTTAAGAATTTGAAGTGTACTAAGTGCACTTGTATATAGTAGTTATGTATTTTTTTTTATGCCTTATTCTATTTTCACATCGTGTTTGCACCAAGAGCCAAAGACATTTCCTAGTAACACTGATACTAAAACTAATTGTGATTGTGATTTGTGTTTCATCAGAGTGTGCTGCCTCGTGCCTCACCTGCTCCGGCCCGGACTCTGGCTCTTGCACCAGCTGCAGAGAAGGCCACAGGCTGGAGGGGCGTGGCCACTGCGATCCTGTGACCCACTCAACGTGCACCCTCCACCAGTTTGTGGACGAAGACGGAGATTGTCGTCCGTGTCATAAATACTGCCACAGATGCTCTGGCCCTGGTTCAAGTCACTGCCTCAGCTGCAACCAGGGCCATCTCCTGCTCAGTGAGTATTCTAACACGGCGCTGTAGTAACGCGGAGCTCAAAAAGGTCCATAAGCACGTGCGCTGACATACTTGCAATACCACCCCTGGCCAGTGGGGGTGGACCCTGAAGGAGAATTATCCTTGCCTGGCCTGCCAAACGATATGCTTTTTCAAAGACATATAGTCTGGGAACGAGCTTGATCTCAGCGAATTCCCGGTGGGCGTGGTTGACAGACTGCATCAACCAATTAGATGCACACAGGATATGACGCAGCAACTAGCGGCACCCAAGCCGTTTCAGTAAACACAAAACAAGGGATGGCGGCATGTCAGCTAGTGCAAATGTAAACGACTGCTGTCAATTTTGTAACAAAAACTTAAAGATACGAGGAGTTATTAGCAACTCAAAGGTGAAAGGAAGTCCCGCCTCTCGGTGCGTGATTGGACCGATGTGGGTAAAATCGTGAAATGATAGGCTAGGAAGAGGTGTCCAGACGGTTCTTCTTTTGAACAGAAAGGAGGAGTGTCTGGCAGGCCAGGCAAGAATTATCCCATGCTTTTGTATGGCGTCTTCTTACCTCTCAAAAACGGCTTTACAGGATGGTCCAAAAGTCGGGTCTTGGCCCAAAGCTACGTCCCAGATGCTGTCAATTCTGAGGGGAGTATTTTTGCTTTGACCAGTCTAGTTTAGCCGCTGTGGACTTCAGAAGGCACTCGTTAAATGAATGGGGCTAGTGCAGCTAACACATGCACAAACAACAGCAGACATAGGTGTGACTACGTCCGTTAATACTTACATCTCAATATTCATCTTAAGACAAAAAATGTATGACCTGATATTTGATCATTTTTTGCAGTGTATATACATGGACCACTTCCTGTTTATCTGATTTCTCTGTAGATGGCACCTGTTTGGATAAATGTCCGATTGGCTACTTCGAAGATGAGATGGCGGGAAAATGCGAGCCCTGTCATTCGTCCTGTGAGTCTTGTGTCGGAAAACACAGTCACGAGTGTCTTTCCTGCAAGTTCGGCCGCTTCTGGGAGGCCAAGGAGTGTGTGGAGACCTGCCAGCACGGGTAACTCCACACTCCCAACATTCAACATCGTGAAACACATTTTAACTTTGTCACTTTGTCCCAGACCCTTGTGCTGCAACATACAACTATGTATTTCTCGCACTAGAATACAGCATTTTACACTTGCTTCTTTATTATGCTAACGCTAGAGATTTTAGTGTGTGTGCTCCTCATTCCTACTGAAATCTCCCCACTGTGCGACAAATAAAGGATTCTTACTTTAAATCACACTTGGTCCATGTGACAGGCACTACGGAAACGCAGCCTCTGGAATGTGTGAAAGGTGTGACATCACCTGCAGAGAGTGCCTGGGACCCGGAGAGGACAGCTGCCTGAACTGTGCCGTGGACTTGGTTTTTTTGCGTAAAGCAGGTCGCTGTCTCGCCGTGTGTCCTGAAGGTTACTACCACGATTCTGCTCATGGCACCTGCGAACCCTGCCACGCCACCTGCAAAGCTTGTTCAGGTTGGTAAGATGTAGTATTTATGACTAGTAGTAGTAGTAAGTGAGTAATCTTTATTTATATACCGCCTTTTCACTGCACATCGGAGTCTCAAAGCGGTTTACAATTGTGATTTTTGGGAGTGGGGGTGCCAGTACAGAAGCACATGCCAGACCTATTGTACATATTTTTAGTGGTAGGGGAAACCGGAGCACCCGAGGAAACCTACGCAGACACGGGAGAGAACATGCAAACTCCACTCAGAAAGGCCCTGGTCCAACCGGGATTCGAACCCAGGACCTTCTGCTATCCACTCAGCCACCGTGCCGCCCACGACTAGGGTTGCAAAATTCACAACAATTTCAAAGGCGGAAACTTTCAATGGGAATTTATGAGATATTATTGTAATTAACTGGGAATTTTCAAATAGGGATGTTTGTTTTTTCATAGGGAACGCAACCCTTTAATTTTTCACTCTTTTTTGATTTGAAGATGTCGAAGCACCAATAATACAAATAATTTGTTTTTATGTTGTTTTTTTTTTTCTCTTAACTTAGGCTTGAGATGCAGTGTGATGCGCCTGAAACCAAGTGATAGAGATTTCCAAAGGAATAAATGGAAATTTTCTGGGAATTTTCAAACGTGAACATTGGCTCTTTAAACGGAACTTGAATATAGTTGAAGGCAGTATATTTCAGCATAATCTTGTCTAAATCAAACAGACAACATTCAAATGCACTTGAATGTCCATGTCATTCCTCATTCTCATGCACATAGCCCACTGCTCCCTGTGGTTATCGAGACCACGCCCCCTACTGGCCCCGTAGAGAAGTCTGGACCCCACTTTTGAACCCGAAACACAAATAAAAAGTCAATCTGTTGAAAATCTTGGATACGTCACAATTTACTTACATCAGAATAATTCCCAGTTGTTGAATATTTCCAAAATTCCCCTGAAACTACGGATGAAAATGTAAATTAGTTTAGTTTCTGTAAACCGCAGTTATGACACAGAATACAGTATGGTCATATTTCACTACATGTTTTTTGTTATTTCTACATAGGAATAGAGTCGCACTCGTGTCAGTCATGTCAAATAGGATACAGACTGTCTGATGGGATCTGCGAGTCCATGTGCTACAGAGGCCAATATCCAGTATTGGAGGTAAAGCTAAAACACAATAAAACCTACCATTGTCCTCACAGTGGTTAAAATAAAGATTTGCTTGGGATTTCAAAAGGTTATTATGGTTGTGTGAGAAATACAGCCACTTTCTGCTAACATGCTACTGTGTTCACCTGCACTGTAGACGCAAGAGGAGGCTTGTTTGTAACGGTACCGCTCCTCGTTCTGTGATTGGAGGAGAGCGCTTCTTACGGCCTGAATTCATACACAGCTGAATCAATGAGCTCAAGTTTTCAATTAAAATATGGGTTTTAATACAACTTGTATTTAGTAATGAGCATTTTTATGAACTCATTAGAAAATAAATCGGGTATAGCTTCTTTAATTCTTGTTCTTTATGAGATAGATTCTTTATTGATCCCCCAAAGGAGAAATTCAGGAGCAGCAGAAAAACACATCCATATTTACACAAAAGTACATCAATTATAAACATTTCTTACCAACTACCCAACAATAGTGCATATTTTTAACTCATACAGGTTTGTTGTACAGTCTGACAGTCGACAGCCTTTATTAGGCTAAAGTTAGAGCCATTTCTTAGTAGGCTAAAGTTAGAGACATTTCTTATTAGGATTATGCTCACGTTAGATATTTTAGACGTGCTTCTTTATTATGGTAAAATTAGACATTTCATTTTATTTTAGTATAGAGTTATTGTCCAGTTATCTTGTGTTGTGTGCTGCTCCTTCCTTCTGTTAAATGAAACAAAAGCATCTAAACTTCAGTGTGTTAGTCGTACAGCAGCAGCGGCCTCATGCCTTCGCTCTCTTTGTGACTCTGTGAAAGGCGCTATATATATAAATATTACTCACTCTCTTACTTACTCTCCAGGGCATGGAGCTGGCCTGTGAAGACTGTGACGCCTCCTGTGCTGAGTGCTGGGGTCAGGGGTCATCCAGCTGCACCTCCTGTCCTCCTCAGGCCATGCTGGACCCCAGGGGGCGCTGTCTGCTCTGCTGTAACCATGACGACGACGTGGCAGATGTTAAGAAAGGCCCCGAGGACTGCTGCAACTGCACTGAGTCTCGAGGTATGAAGGCTCTGGTTGGCAAAATGTCTTTGACGAGTTAAACTTGGATGATTTTTTTGGGTTTGGAGGCGCAACAGAGACTTTTTAAATTAGCAATATGTAAGATTTGTCAAGTCATCATTAAAGGGCCCTAATCTGTCAAAAGGCTTTAATAAAACATGGTCTTTTCAAATACTTCTTTAACTGATAACAGTAGTTCAGGGATATTTGGATTTCAAAATTAGTTTTACAGACCTTAAATCTTGTTATTGTTTTCATTTCGATGTCCCGCCCTCCACTGTTTTACCAATCAGAAAGTCAGTGATCCGGGTTACCAGAACTCACCGCGTCAAGCTAATTTCACTGGTAAAGTACCATGTAGCGCAGAACTAAGAAAAAGTCTCGTTATGATTCTCAAATCATTAACGACAAAACAAGGAAAAAAACAAGATTTCTATCTTTGTGAAAAAGGTGTTATATTTTTGTTGTCATGGTCCCAGCTGGATTCTTCTGCATATCTGGCAACCTGAGTCTGGGAGAGTGGGAGAGGCTGCAGTACCACTTTAGGCCAGATTTGTACATACTGCTTCTCTAAGTATAAAAACCCCTGACTTTAGCATTATACTGAGATACAGTGCCTTGCGAAAGTATTCGGCCCCCTTGAACCTTTCAACATTTTGCCACATTTCAGTCTTCAAACATAAACTTTCATCTCAAACAAGGAGAAGACTGATCAGAGATGCTGCCAAGAGGCCCATGATCACTGGATGAACTGCAGATAACTACAGCTGAGGTGGGAGAGTCTGTCCATAGGACAACAATCAGTTGTGCACTGCACAAATCTGGCCTTTATGGAAGAGTGGCAAGAAGAAAGCCATTTCTCAAAGATATCCATAAAAAGTCTCTTAAAGTTTGCCACAAGCCACCTGGGAGACACACCAAACATGTGGAAGAAGGTGCTCTGGTCAGATGAAACCAAAATCGAACTTTTTGGCCACAATGCAAAACGATATGTTTGGCGTAAAAGCAACACAGCTCATCACCCTGAACACACCATCCCCACCTCAGCTGTAGTTATCTGCAGTTCATCCAGAGTGATCATGAGCCTCTTGTCTGCATCTCTGATCAGTCTTCTCCTTGTTTGAGATGAAAGTTTGGAGGGACGGCCGGGTCTTGGTAGATTTGCAGTGGTCTGATACTCCTTCCATTTCAATATAATTTCTTGCACAGTGCTCCTTGAGATGTTTAAAGCTTGGGAATAGTGATGTGCTGAGCGTGCCGGGTCTTCGAAGCGTGTACCGAGTAAAAAAGGGGCGTATTTTTTGAAGCGTGGTTTGAGGCGTATGTGGTGACGTTCGAAGCCTCGCGTAGCGGCCGCACCACGTGACGGTTCATATAGTGCTTCATATAGTTCGGAGAGTGCATTGCTTTGACAGGTGCTTTGTGATCCGCGGCTGTACCATAGACTGTATTGGCTGTCCCCGTCTGCCTCTGTGTGCGTACGTGTGTGTGTGTGCGTACGTGTGTGTGCGTGATGTGGAGCAGTCCTGTACTAAGTATAGAGAAACAACTTCATATGAAATACAATTAAAAACGTTTCACTTTAGTAAATCCTCATATATCAAGGCTTCAAGTTATTAGTAATAATACGCTGGATAATTCATTTCACAACAGCTGTGTGGCGCAGTCGGTCTATGACGGACTCTGAAGTAGAAGATATAGCGTTCGAATCCCGGTCTACCCATAATAAATTTTGTGTTGCAAAGTAAATGTATTTATTTATTGGGAATAAATGGTTTGTTGTGTTTAATTAATCCACCTCTTGGTAGTTTTTCCTCCATTAATCACTTTCTGTAGAACTGTATTACTTTAGATGTGTTTGTTGTATCAACACAATTGACTGAAAGACTCAAATAGTTCATAGTTCATGAAGCATCATTTCAAACACAACACGTTAGACCATAGATTGTAAATATACATTTTAACATTAGATCTCACCATTCATTGTAAGCACTTAAGAGTGTTATGTATTTCTTTGTCCACATGATGGCGTAGTGGAGCATGATTCACCTCGAGCCTTCGACTCATGGGCCGAGTAATAGGCTGCGATCCCTCAAGGCTTCATGGGGCTTCATATTGCCATCACTACTTGTGAAATCTTTTTGTATCCAAATCCGGCTTTAAACTTCTCCACAACAGTATCTCGGACCTGCCTGGTGTGTTCCTTTGTCTTCATGGTTCTCTCTGCGCTTTAAACAGAACCCTGAGACTATCAAAGAGCAGGTGCATTTATACGGAGACTTGATTACACACAGGTGCATTCTATTTATCATCATCAGTCATTTAGGACAACATTGGATCATTCAAAGATCCTCACTGAACTTCTGGAGTGAGTTTGCTGCACTGAAAGTAAAGGGGCCGAATAATATTGCACGCCCCACTTTTCAATTTTTTATTTGTTAAAAAAGTTTAAATTATCCAACAAATTTCATTCCACTTCACGATTGTGTCCCACTTGTTGTTGATTCATGACAAAAAATATTTTTTTTATATCTTTATGTTTGAAGCCTGAAATATGGCAAAATGTTCAAGGGTTCAAGGGGGCCAAATACTTTCGCAAGGCACTGTAATAATTGAAAAACCGCGACCCGGCAACGGATGAAGCGGAAGAAAATGAACTGATGGATGGATGATTGAAAAACCTGTTGCTTTTCCTTCCTCTAGGAGAGTGCGTCCTCAGCACAAACTTACCGTTCATAAACGACAAAGACGGCGAGGAGCGAGGGAACCTGGCCGTCTTCGTCACCGCCTGTGTCCTGCTGGTGGCGGTGCTGGTGGCCATCGTCTTCCTCATCCGGCACTCCCGCTCCAAAAGCGCGTCCCGGGACATCCCCCCTCGAGGCTACGAGAAGCTGGGCTCGGGGGGCGGCTTCGGAGGCGGGGGCGGGTCCAGCAAACACGGCTACAGCTCGGCCTCTTCCTCATCCTTCAGCAGACATGGCGGCTCTTCGTCCGCTAGCACCGGTCGCTTCCAGGAGTCTCAGATGGTGGATTTCAGCGACCGGCGTAAGAAAAACAACGAGGATGATGATGACGAGGACATTGTCTACATGGGGCAGGACGGGACGGTCTACAGGAAGTTCAAATATGGGCAGCTGGGAGATGACAACGAGGATGATCTGGAGTACGACGATGGGAGCTACACCTTCAGATGAAAGAGGGAGACTCTGTTCATCCCTGACTGAATATGAATCTTCACTTCCTGTGTCATGTAACCACCTATTTACCCCCATTCAAAATATTTATAGTTTATGTCGAGATACTTATCGTAACGTATTTATATCATGCAACGCAATTTGACTGAAAGGGAGTGGGAAGAAGAGTTTATTTTATCCCACCCCATTTTCCGTTTACTACTGCAAACTTGATTCAATAAAGAAATATCCAGAGACTAAGACTTAATACAAACAGGTAAACCAATGGCATGCGAGACACGTACTAATATTCTAGATAGTTGTAAAAAAGTTTACAGAAATGCAGGGTTATTTTAGGGAATAGACAGTGCTCTAAGAATTATATAGTTACATTCAATTGACAATTTTTAAGGTATTTTTGTATAGCTTGAAATCACAACAACAGTCGTCTATGGAGGAACGTTGTGGATTCACTATCAACAGATCAGATAATCAAACCACTCCAACACAGGAAATGCAAAAAAAACCTTCAGTATTTCTTAATCCAACAAGACATAGATACAGTACAGACCAAAAGTTTGGACACACCTTCTCATTCTTTTTCTTTATTTTCATGATTATGAAAATTGTAGATTCACACTGAAGGCATCAAAACTACGATTTAACTCATGTGGAATTATATAAGTAATGAATTACATAAGTAAATAAGTAAAGTATGAAACAACTGAAAATATGTCTTATATTCTGGGTCTTCAAAGTAGCACCTTTTGCTCTGATACTGCTTCACTCTTGGCATTCTCTTGATGAGCTTCAAGAAATGGTCTTCAACAGTCTTGAAGGAGTTCCCATGATGCTTTGCACTTGTTGGCCCCTTCACTCTGTGGTCCAGCCCCAAAACCATCTGGATTGGGTTCAGGTCCGGTGACTGTGGAGGTCATCTGGCCCAGCACCATCACTCTCCTTATTGGTCAAACAGCCCTAACACAGCCTGGTGTGGATCTACAGTCAATGGTCATGAAAAGAAAGGAACCTCATTGAATGAGAAAGTGTGTCCAAACTTTTGGTTTGTACTGTATGTGGAAAAGGAGGCCTAATATTTTGAATTAAATCCAGACATTTTATTTCTTCGAGTGAAGGTTTTGACTAGATTTTCTTACAACCTTTAACAATTAGGCCTAAATAGTCTTTTATCCTTAACCACAGTCCTATGCATTTTAATATCTATAAACAACTTAAAAGTGCCTATTTCAGGGAGTCAGAGACTAGAGAGAGGAGAGGGAGGCAGAAGACTAGAGAGAGGAGAGGGAGGCAGAGACTAGAGAGAGGAGAGGGAGGCAGAGACTAGAGAGGAGAGGGAGGCAGAGACTAGAGAGAGGAGAGGGAGAGGGAGGCAGAGACTAGAGAGAGGAGAGGGAGTCAGAGACTAGAGAGAGGAGAGGGAGTCAGAGACTAGAGAGAGGAGAGGGAGTCAGAGACTAGAGAGAGGAGAGGGAGGCAGAGACTAGAGAGGAGAGGGAGGCAGAGACTAGAGAGAGGAGAGGGAGGCAGAGACTAGAGAGAGGAGAGGGAGTCAGAGACTAGAGAGAGGAGAGGGAGTCAGAGACTAGAGAGAGGAGAGGGAGTCAGAGACTAGAGAGAGGAGAGGGAGGCAGAGACTAGAGAGAGGAGAGGGAGTCAGAGACTAGAGAGAGGAGAGGGAGTCAGAGACTAGAGAGAGGAGAGGGAGTCAGAGACTAGAGAGAGGAGAGGGAGTCAGAGACTAGAGAGAGGAGAGGGAGTCAGAGACTAGAGAGAGGAGAGGGAGTCAGAGACTAGAGAGAGGAGAGGGAGTCAGAGACTAGAGAGAGGAGAGGGAGGCAGAGACTAGAGAGAGGAGAGGGAGGCAGAGACTAGAGAGAGGAGAGGGAGGCAGAGACTAGAGAGAGGAGAGGGAGGCAGAGACTATAGAGGAGAGGGAGGCAGAGACTAGAGAGAGGAGAGGGAGGCAGAGACTAGAGAGAGGAGAGGGAGGCAGAAGACTAGAGAGAGGAGAGGGAGGCAGAGACTAGAGAGAGGAGAGGGAGAGGGAGGCAGAAGACTAGAGAGAGGAGAGGGAGAGGGAGGCAGAAGACTAGAGAGAGGAGAGGGAGAGGGAGGCAGAGACTAGAGAGAGGAGAGGGAGCAGAGAGACTAGAGAGAGAGAGAGGGAGTCAGAGACTAGAGAGAGAGAGAGGGAGAGCAGAGACTAGAGAGAGGAGAGGGAGAGGGAGGCAGAGACTAGAGAGAGGAGAGGGAGTCAGAGACTAGAGAGAGGAGAGGGAGTCAGAGACTAGAGAGAGGAGAGGAGAGCAGAGAGAGCAGAGAGAGAGAGGAGGGAGGCAGAGACTAGAGAGAGGAGGGAGTCAGAGACTAGAGAGAGGAGAGGAGAGGGAGGCAGAGACTAGAGAGAGGAGAGGGAGTCAGAGACTAGAGAGAGGAGAGGGAGAGGGAGGCAGAGACTAGAGAGAGGGAGGGAGGCAGAGACTAGAGAGAGGAGAGGGAGAGGGAGGCAGAAGACTAGAGAGAGGAGAGGGAGGCAGAAGACTAGAGAGAGGAGAGGGAGTCAGAGACTAGAGAGAGGAGAGGGAGTCAGAGACTAGAGAGAGGAGAGGGAGAGGGAGGCAGAGACTAGAGAGAGGAGAGGGAGGCAGAGACTAGAGAGAGGAGAGGGAGGCAGAGACTAGAGAGAGGAGAGGGAGAGGGAGGCAGAGACTAGAGAGAGGAGAGGGAGTCAGAGACTAGAGAGAGGAGAGGGAGTCAGAGACTAGAGAGAGGAGAGGGAGGCAGAGACTAGAGAGAGGAGAGGGAGAGGGAGGCAAGAGCTCTGGTGTGTGTCGTCTGGTACACACTGGGGTAGTCTTGCACAGTTTTTCCAATGTGGTTTCACTGCAAATGGCAAATAAATGAATCTGAGTCTGAATCATCTGATCTGAATCTGATCTGAGAGGGAGGCAGAGACTAGAGAGAGGAGAGGAGAGGGATGGAGACACTCGAGAGAGACTTCTTACTCTACTCCAGGAAGAAAAACCATCTGCACTTTCCCGGCCTGCAGATAAAAACAAAACAAAACTCCCTGTTGCCCTCACCTGATTGGTCGTCTGATTGATGTCACACCCAGAGGCAGGTGAATAGCACTAACACTACATTCATTCATCATCAGTGTTTACGGCAAACACATTTAACCTCATGTTTTGACAAGTGCTACTTATGAAACTATTTGTTGTGGTTATCATTTAAACTGTATGTGTGTGTGTTTATAATTGTGTTACACCCTTCTCTGTACAAGCTAGCATTAACAAATTAGTAAAGGTTTAGATTCAACTGTATTGTCATTCCAATGTTCAGAACAATAAAATAAATACATACGAACCCGCTCTTATCTCATCACTGTTTTATTGAAATACTAGACAGATTCTATTCACGACTTTGCACCTTCTCCAAACTCGACGACAGGAAAAACAGTGAGGACATGCATGACTCTGTCGGAAACACTCCGACCAGAAGGAGCGTGTTTACCTTGTGCTTTACAGTCCATGGATGTTATTTCATGTATCGTCTTTTCTGGACTATGAGCCGCTGCTTTTTTCTAATTCTTTGAAGCAGCTTGTATAGCAGTGCAGCTAATATGTGTATTTAATTTTAATTTATTTTATAATGATAGAGCTGTCACAGCAGAGTTTATGGACTCATTATTTTGACTTCATCAAGTTTTAGTAGCCATAGGACACTGGTTTATTGTCAACATAGATGAAGGTGAGTGAGTCATGGAAGCTAACGGCTAAGCTAACGTTAGCTAACAGCTAAGCTAACATCAAGCTGTTAAAACACCTGGTCATTAAATCATGTGTCCAGTTAAAAGTCGTTTCTCTGCTACATAACAACATGAAAACCTGCGGCTTATATTCAAGTGAAAGTTTTTTTTAAACTACTTGCGTTACAACTCCCCAGAGCCGTCATTTTGACTGCCCCATTCAAAGCAAGGGAATTCTTAAAAAGTGTTTGTAAAATTTACATTTACTCACCTTTGACAAGTGCTACAACTGGTGAATAAAACGTGAAATACAGAAAAATTGAATTTATTGAAAGGCTAATGCTAACTGGTAGCAAGTTAACAGTAGGTTGCTATGGTTACTCTTCTCTACTATATTTCAAAATTAAAAGATAGTTTCATGAAAAATAACATAGAAAAAACAGAAAAAGTAACAACGTTATGAAGACCAGAGACGTACATTACACTTCAAAAACTAAAACCCGTCAAAATGACTGCTCTTAAGAGTCTGGGGAGAGCTTATACACAGAAACGCCTTATAGTCCAGAAAGTACGGTCGATTTTCATTTTACTTTCAATATTATTATTTTCGAATTGTTGGCATTAATTTCCTATTCAAAGAACACATGTATAATATCATTTCAACATTTACCATAAAAAAATAAATTAAATAAATAATTAGAATAGATATGTCGGCCTGTGTTTGGTTTGGCCATAATCCACCATCGATGGCACAAAGTTACGCTAGACGCTGTGTGGGTTTCTCTAAAGCAACACACGATCCATTTACCCGTTTAAACTACACAAAAGTCTTATTGCTCCGCGGCTTCACATGCTTCACACAAATATAACCTGGACTCAGAAATGTGCCGTCATGTCCGCAGCTTCGAGCCCATCCTTACAAAAATGTGAAATACGGTAGATTTGTTTTCTTTTACAGATAGTGCTACAGCAGCCTTAACAAGGAGACGAAATGTGTAAACAGGCACTAGTAGTGGAACGTGGAGAGACATTTAAGATGGCTGGTTGTGTGGGTTGCTCGTCGCAGCCTCCTCTGTCCTGTGAGGGGGAAAAAATAGTAGTAAAAGGCAACTCAAAGTGCTTAACAAAATGAAGATATACTGTAAATAATCACAGTACGTTAAAACGAGTGATATTGTCAGAGAAGAAGCCTATCTCACGTTTTAAGGAAGACTGTTCCAGATTTTAGCTGCATGAATCTGAAATTCTGCCTCCCCATGTTTAGCCCTGACTCTGGGACCAGCAGGAGGCCAGTCCCTGTGCTCCTCAGAGTCCCAGCAGGAGGCCAGTCCCTGTGCCTCTCTGCTTTAAAGGAATAGTTCACCGTTTTTACATACTGACATATGTTCTTACCTTACCTTAGACTAGTTAATACGTACCTGTGTGATCTTAGTCCGTGCGCTCTGTCATGCAAACGGAGCAAAAACGGGAGCACAAATGCAGCCTCCTCTGTATACTGTGTAGCACCAAAAGGTAGCTCCCGCTAGAAGCTACCAAACTCTTCCAAGTGTTCCCTATTAAATGTATATAGTTACGTGACGTGTTACACTGCAAAGTATAGTAACACAGAAATGTAACTGTCGATTTTCTCAGCGGATAAAACGGGTACTATATTGTGAGGCGTAGTAATCTGAGGTGCGCTACGTCCGCGCACTAACTTCTGTCCGGAGACTTCTCTCTCGCTCACTTCAGTCAATAGAAGCAGCGTGACTTGTAGTACAGAGAGAAGTTAGTGCGCGGACGTAGCGCTCCTCAGATTACTACGCCTCACAATATAGTACCCGTTTTATCCGCTGAGAAAATCGACAGTTACATTTCTGTGTTACTATACTTTGCAGTGTAACACGTCACGTAACTATATACATTTAATAGGGAACACTTGGAAGAGTTTGGTAGCTTCTAGCGGGAGCTACCTTTTGGTGCTACACAGTATACAGAGGAGGCTGCATTTGTGCTCCCGTTTTTGCTCCGTTTGCATGACAGAGCGCACGGACTAAGATCACACAGGTACGTATTAACTAGTCTAAGGTAAGGTAAGAACATATGTCAGTATGTAAAAACGGTGAACTATTCCTTTAAAGTCTATTCTCTGAGCCACAGGAGCCAGAGCAGAGACCTGACAACTGGGACTAATGTGATGGTACTTCCTGATTCTAGTCCGGACTCGAGCTGGAGACCGCAGTGAGCAGCTGTTACAGTAGTCTAACCTCCTGGAGACAAATGCAGGATAAGAATCTCCAAGTCTGCTTCAAACACTATATTTTTTAATTCTGGCAATGCTTTTTCAGATGGTGAAAAGCTGCTGATGTTACTGATTTGATGTGGATGTTAAAAGTCACGTCTGAGTCCAGTATTACCCCTGGATTTCTGACCTGCTTTTGAAGATTTTAGGGAGAGACTGGATGCCAACGACAAGAGAGTAGGAGATGACAGCAGTCTTGTGTGGCAGGTTTTAAAGTATGTGAAAGAAGAACTTACTGGGTCCTGTCTGACGCTGGCTGAGTTCCCAGCAGGAAACTGTTCACTCTTGAATAAAACAGAGAGAATAGAGAGATAGTTAGAGCAAGATTTATGGCTGAGAAATCTATAAGCTCTATCAGAGGTTTATGATTAAGCACATAATCAGTCCTCTGCTTTTGGACCTGGTGTTTAGTATCGGTGTTATGGATCACTAAAGGATGGGAATTCATTTGGGTTTATGATGCATGAGAGTGTGGATGGGGAGCCGTGATAAACATTTTGGAAACTTTTCTGCGCTCTTGCAGATTATAAAACTAATGAGAAAGTGAGTTTGTTTGACGCTAAATGGAAAGAAGTTGATATATGAAGTCTTAGGAGTAATGAGCAGTAGAAGTGGGAATTATTTTACCTGCTAGAATATAAGCCACTACTTTTTTTGAGTTCTTTGACCCCTGCGGCTTATATAGCAATGCGGCTAATGTCTCCATTTTTATTGTGATAGAATTGGGCTGGTGTCAGAACAGAGTTTATGGAGTTTTTAGTTCATATATATATTTGTAATTCATCTCTATTCTTAATTAGGGCTTTAACGTCTTTCCAAATTTGGCTGGTGCAATAACATGTACCGTAAAAGACAGGGATGTCAGACTCTTTTTGGTTGGAGAACGAAAGAATATAATGGATTTTCTTTTCTCATAATTGTTTTCTACATTATGAAGGTATGACTTTTAAGTGACATGAGTTTCACTATTATTGTCTTGTGGATTTTTTCTGGAATAAAAATGTGTGTTATTGGATTTAACTAAAACTGTACCAAATGTAAAGTTTTCTATTTAACCATTTAACATTTTAGAATGCAGAAAATGTGGTTGATCTCCAGAGAAAATAAATGATGTACAACATGTCCTGGCAACCCATAACCATCAATGCTGCAAGTTAATAATAATAATAATAATAATAAAAGAACAATAATTTCATTTTTAGTTCCTGTTTTATTTTGTAATTCTGTTCCCCTGTGTCTTTTAGAGTTTTACTTCCTGTTCTGTTGATCGCCTGCCCCGCCCTGATTTGTTTCACCTGTGTCTCAGTTAAACTCCCTGAGCTCTTTCTCTCTTGTTGTCAGTCCATTGAATGTTTGTTCTTGTCTTCGTCTTCAGTTCCTGTGTTTGACAGTTTACTTGTTTATTTAAATATATTTTTGCAGTATTGAATTTTGGGTCCCTCCTCCTTTTGACCACGCAACACAGGGGCCACTAAAAATGGTCTTGCGAGTGGCAAGATTGAGACATCTCTGGTACAAAAGGGTTCACTTACTTGGAGTTCTCTGCTGCTTCCTTCAGCTCTTTGTCCACTCTGAACAAATCAAGACACACGTTAGGGTTAAAACATGCTTTAGATTTGAGACACGTGTGAGGTACTGTATACAGGGATTTGTGGAGGAGCTCACCTGATGATGCATTCTGGGATTTGGATTTGCTCCATTGGTATGAGCTGCTCCAGTTCATCCAGGCTGTTGACATATTTAATCTTACTGCTGAACTTGGCACTGATTAAAAAAACAGAGACAAAAACAACACAAAGCATGGCATGATGAGCAAGATCAGCAAGAATGTAGTCAGAGCCACAGGAAGCAGATAGCATATTTAAGATGCTTGAAATGAGTGAGTTCATTTTCATCAGTCATCATTACCACAGAAATGACTTGTCGTTACTTATGAACCTGTGTGTACAGCTCTACATTGAATAAACCTCACAAAAAACCTTGGTCATTTGAGCAGGAAATCCAAAACTGCAACCTTTATAGCAGGGTCGACACTAGATCATATACGGAATCGGGACGGAAGCAGAAGTAAATATATTAAAACTACCTAAACTAATATTTCCATGCCTCAACTTAACCAGCCATCCCATAGAAAAACCCCAACCCACCTTAACTCTAACCTTAACCATCTTACTCAGACCACCTTAACCCTAACCTTAACCATCTTACCCAAACCACCTTAACCATCTTACTCAGACCACCTTAACCCTAACCATAACCATCTTACTCAGACCACCTTAACCATCTTACTCAGACCACCTTAACCCTAACCATAACCATCTTACTCAGACCACCTTAACCATCTTACTCAGACCACCTTAACCCTAACCTTAACCATCTTACTCAGACCACCTTAACCCTAACCTTAACCATCTTACTCAAACCACCTTAACCCTAACCTTAACCATCTTACTCAGACCACCTTAACCATCTTACTCAGACCACCTTAACCCTAACCTTAACCATCTTACTCAGACCACCTTAACCCTAACCTTAACCATCTTACTCAGACCCACCTTAACCCTAACCTTAACCATCTTACTCAGACCACCTTAACCCTAACCTTAACCATCTTACTCAGACCACCTTAACCCTAACCTTAACCATCTTACTCAGACCACCTTATTAGTCTAAGACGAATTCGAAAGTAGGATTGTAACTTCCGCTTCCAATTTCGTATATGATTTAGTGCCAACCTTTATAGCGGTTGGCACTAAATTATGGAGCTCCGTTAGAGCTCCATAACGAATGGAGTCTTCAAACACGTTGTCATTAAATCATGTTGTGTCCAGTTCAAAGAGTCGTCTATCGGGTTTGTTGTGCTCGCTCAGTTGTTGGTTAAGTGTTGGTTACGTGTTACATCACAACATGCAAACCTGGTTTTGCATCGAGGTTGCATAAGACTGAAAATGCTATAATTGCTGCTGTATTTCTCACATGACAACAGTGAAGAGAATCAAGTTACACTTTCTGCACATAATGGTAATTGTTGTTTCTGCTGCACCTGTCTGTGTGTGTGTGTCTGACTGTGTGAGTCTGTGTCTCTCTGTGTGTCTGTGTGAGTGTGTGTCTGTATGTCTATGTGTCTGTGTGTCTGTGTATGTGTCTGTGTGAGAGTGTGTATCTGTGTGTCTGTGAGTGTACGTGCGTGTGTGTGTACATGTGTGTCTGCATGTGCCTATATGTGTCTCTGTGTGTGTATTTGTATCTCTGTGTATCTGTGTGTCTGTGTCTGTGAGTGTACGTGCGTGTGTGTGTCTGCATGTGCATATATGTGTCTCTGTGTGTGTATTTGTGTCTGTGAGTGTACGTGCGTGCATGTACATATATGTGTCTCTGTGTGTGTATTTGTATGTCTGTGTATCTGTGTCTATGTGTGTCTGTGCGTGTCTGTGTCTCTGTGTGTGTATCTGTATGTCTGTATCTGTGTGTGTGTGTGTCTGTGTGTCATGTGTCTATATGTGTCTCTGTGTGTGTTTCTGTGTGTGTTTCTGTGTGTCTATATCTGTGTGTCTATGTGTATCTACGTGCGTCTCTGTGCGTGAGTATCTGTATGTCTGTGTCTCTGCATGTGTGTCTCTCTGTGTGTGTCATCAACGCCAACAGCTGATTTATGTCAGAAGATTACTCCGATATCTTCGAGTTTCCCAGATCTCTTGAAAGCTGCAGTTAAGCCCCGCCCACTCCTGTGATTGGCCACAAAACCATCAAACATCGCCCAGAAACAACCAGGAATGTGCTTTACCTTATGAACGGTTTGGTGATTGCCAGAATAGTCCTGATAAACCATGACGGGTGGAGAATAATGAAGGATTTCAAGTTCTTCCTGAGCCTAAAGTGGGAGAGGATACACGGCTGTCATGTTGGGTTAGGGTTATTAAAGTTACTGTAAGTGTTGCTGGAAATGCGACAGAGGACACACCTTCTGTCAATCATTTGGTAGCATTTCTTTAGCCACCCCAGGCCTGGCATTCTGCTGTGAGGAGTGGCCCCATTCAGATACACAATCATATAGTCCTCTGCCACCATGAGCTCCAGAGTGCTGATGACAAATCTGTGCCAGAAAGAAAGACCAGGTTCACAAAGACCACAGAACATAAGGATTTAGCATAAGGCAACACTCATTAAGAACTGAACCATTAAAATAAAATATTCAAAAAAGTTAGTGAGTCTTTGGCCTGGTTCCAGCTGAAAAAATAGTACAAAAAATAATAAAAAAAAGAAAAGAGAAAATTGTGTACGTGGCAAAAAGGGACAAAAAATAAGTCAAAAATGCTCAAATTTGGCTAAACGTGTCTTAATCTGAGCACATTCTGACTGCCTTAAAACAAGATTTCCAAATGGGAAAAAGCAAAATGATCTTGTTTAAAAAGATACAAGAAAAGTCTCCTTTGGAATTAGAAAATAAAGCAACAGTTCTTAAAAAAAGACTAAATGGCTTTGTCCCATTGGGTCTCTCTCTCTGGTCTCTCTCTGGTCTCTCTCTCTGGTCTCTCTCTGGTCTCTCTCTCTGGTCTCTCTCTCTGGTCTCTCTCTCTGGTCTCTCTCTCTGGTCTCTCTCTCTGGTCTCTCTCTCTGGTCTCTCTCTCTGGTCTCTCTCTCTGGTCTCTCTCTCTGGTCTCTCTCTCTGGTCTCTCTCTCTGGTCTCTCTCTCTGGTCTCTCTCTCTGGTCTCCCTCTCTGGTCTCCCTCTCTGGTCTCCCTCTCTGGTCTCCCTCTCTGGTCTCCCTGTCTAGTCTCTCTCCTTCTCTGTCTAGTCTCTCTCTCTGGTCTCTCTCTCTGGTCTCTCTCTCTGGTCTCTCTCTCTGGTCTCTCTCTCTGGTCTCTCTCTCTGGTCTCTCTCTCTGGTCTCTCTCTCTGGTCTCTCTCTCTGGTCTCTCTCTCTGGTCTCTCTCTCTGGTCTCTCTCTCTGGTCTCTCTCTCTGGTCTCTCTCTCTGGTCTCCCTCTCTGGTCTCCCTCTCTGGTCTCCCTCTCTGGTCTCCCTCTCTGGTCTCCCTCTCTAGTCTCCCTCTCTAGTCTCTCTCCTTCTCTGTCTAGTCTCTCTCTCTGGTCTCTCTCTCTGGTCTCTCTCTCTGGTCTCTCTCTCTGGTCTCTCTCTCTCTGGTCTCCCTCTCTGGTCTCCCTCTCTGGTCTCCCTCTCTGGTCTCCCTCTCTGGTCTCCCTCTCTGGTCTCCCTCTCTGGTCTCCCTCTCTAGTCTAGTCTCTCTCTCTGGTCTCCCTCTCTGGTCTCCCTCTCTGGTCTCCCTCTCTAGTCTCCCTCTCTAGTCTCTCTCCCTCTCTGTCTAGTCTCTCTCTCTGGTCTCTCTCTCTGGTCTCTCTCTCTGGTCTCCCTCTCTAGTCTCTCTCTGTCTAGTCTCTCTCTCTGGCCTCTCTCTGGTCTCTCTCTCTGGTCTCTCTCTCTAGTCTCTCTCTCTCTGTCTAGTCTCTCTCTCTGGTCTCTCTCTCTGGTCTCTCTCTCTGGTCTCTCTCTCTGGTCTCTCTCTCTGGTCTCTCTCTCTGGTCTCTCTCTCTCTCTGGTTTTAACACCGTCAGAATGTGCTCAAACTAAGATAAAAACCACTCGATTCAAGCAATTCTTTCCTCATATTTGATCCTTTTTTGCAGTGTATCTCAGGCCAAACGAGTTGCATGCACACATGACACAATATAATGTAGGCAACACTTACAAAAACAGGTTTTCCATTATTTCATGATAGTCTGGTAGGTCACTGTCTGGCAGGAAACAGGCCGCAAAAACTATGATGGCATTGACTCCGTTTCCATAGTAACCTTAATAGAAAAAACTTGTCTTACTGATTCAGACCAACTTTGGATTTTGTGACTGAGAGAAAAAAAAAATCAACCCTAATTAACAAAAACCACATGTTTCAGAACCCCCTGCAGATAATGTATTGTTGTTATTGTATCATAAGAACAATAATCATCATAATAAAATACTTATTTCATTATTATTATTATTATTGACATGTTTTTTCTCGCTCCCACAAAACACATATTTAGACAAAGATAAGAACCTTTACTTTTCCATCAGTGGCTATATTTAAATTCCAATAAGCTGGCAGTGCGACATATTATACAACATAATAAACATAACATTGGTTTGAATGGGAGCCGTCAAAATGACTGCTCTGGGAGTTCTAGTAGTTTCAGTATTCCGGGAGTTTTGGTGTTGAATAGAAATGTCGCCCATATTTTGAAGTTAACAAGGCCTTAAAACAAAATGTATTTTATTGGACAGCTTCAGTCCAATAAAATGTTCCAAAATTAAGATGAATGTAGCCAAATTTAAATCATGTCTGACTGGAATTTTAGAGTTTTTTTGCAGTCATACCTGTTATAATTTATTTAATTTTTAATAGTTGTATAACAATTTTTTCTGCACATTTGTCAATTCTAAATCCTTTTGGAAGCTACTTGGAAAGGGCTAGCTAGATATAAATAAGAATAAACAAGACTGAAGAGATGAGCTGGAGGTTCTTTATAAATCCAGACTTCTTAATAGAGCTCTAATAATTATCAATGACTCTTCTGGCCACCCTGGAAAAGCCTTGTTCCAGCTTCTTCCCTCTGGCAGAAGATATCGTTCTCTGAGATGCAGGACATCTCGTTACGCTAACAACTTTTTTCCACAAGCTGTTATCAGTGTGAACAGAGCACTTTAATGATTTGCACTTGTTTTGAAACTGTTTTAGCCGATCGATTTCACAGTGACATTTGTTTACTGTTTTATTTGTTTTATTTCCGTACTTTTAATGTTGTTTTATGTCTGTATTTGTCTGTGCACACTGGTGACTTTTTGCTAATGTATTCCAATGTGTTTTTTTTACTGCAAATGGCAAATAAACTGAATCTGAATCTGAGCTGCACCTCCGTGTGAGACGACTCTCATGTATGGCTGGATGATCTTCATGTTAATGCGGTGCTCCTGCTCTCCGATCACCACAGTTCTCCACAGTTTTCCGTCCTGTCGGTCCTGGAGCTCTTCCTCAGCGCTGTAAGTAGGGAAAGTGTTGTATGCGTCACTGGTTCCACTGCGACTGTCCACTTTGGGATCTACGCAACGCAAAAACAAACACACAAACAGCGTTACAAGCTGGAGAAATAGCAATATACATGAAAAATGCTGTAGAGACATTTTAATACAGTTTGCGGACTATAAGCCGCACCTGATTATAAGCCGCAGACACTATTTTTTAGAAAGAAATGTAATTGTTAATCTTCTAGTGTGAAGCATAGAGATAAGGAGTAACCTCTACTGGTCTCTGTTCACTTTCATGTCTATGCAAAGAAGAAAAAACAATTTGAGGAGTGAGGATTTTCTTACGTTTTTATTGAATCCGCTTGGTATCAAACAAATACATAAAGTAAATGTCTGTTTTTATAACGCCGCCTGTAACCTTTAAATATTCTTTACGTTTGTATTGGTAATAGGAGTGTGATGATATTGTGATACTTTCACCCGCGATATCGATATGCCTTTGCTAAGTATCGATTTTTTTAATTAATATTATTTTTAATCAGTATCAATACTCAATATATGACTACATTACGCATCTCCATTCCATTTATAATGAAATAAAGTGTCTTTTTTCACTCAACATTTTTCTTTTATTTATGCCATAAATTGACATATGGTTTATTTCTGACCAATATATCGATAATTGTGATCGTGATATAATCGTTATCGTGATACAATCGTTATGGTGAGCCTTGTATTGCGTATCGTATCGGGAGGTACCCTTAGGTTCCCACCTCTAATTGGTAACACACAAATTACAATACGTATACTTTTCTACAAGTATTTTCCATGTTGAGGAGATAAATAAAAACATAAAAAATGAAGCCGCACCTCACTCTAAGCCGCAGTGCTCAAAGTGCAGAAAAAAGGTTTTGGCTAAGTCTGGATTTTATGGTAGATAAACTCCCACATTACAAACACTGCGCATCCAGCTGGGGAAGTCTGTGTTTGATGTTTTTGGCAGCAAAATACACATAGACTGTAGAGTGGACTGGCCATTGCCAATTTCCTTATATGGGCATTTCTTCCACTGTTAGCTTTGCGGCGTAACAGTGACAGATGTGTAGCTACACTGCACAAAGTGATAAAAAATTGCTCAAATTCTGACTGCCTTAAAACAAGATTTGCCAATGGGACAAAGCAAAAATATCTTGCTTTAAATAAATGGCTTCGTCCCATTGGTCAGATGTACTCCGATTAAGATGAAAAACCACTCAATTTAAGCCATTATTATTATTATGCTCATATTTTATCATTTTTTGCAGTGTAAAACCATTGCTAATATAAAAGGCAAGCTGGAGTTTCCCCCTCGATTGAAAGCATCTGATTGGTCAATGAGGGTGCCATGTGAGGGTGTTGCCACGGTTACCTTCCCAGTCCGTCTCGTGGTCCGTGTAGTCCAGGTCCCCTTCGTCGGGAGTGTCCATGTCGTCCACGTCGATGTCCAGGTCGTCCGGAGTCTCCCCCAGGTCATCCTCGCTCTGGTCCAGAGACAGACTGATCCTGGGAGCAGAGAGCTTCTTCCTCTGGCTCTGGCTCTGGCTCTGGGCTCCTTCTAGAGGCAGGGAGGTGGGAGGAACTACACACAGACACAAAGCAATCATCCATAAAGTTGATTACAGAGATCTGTCTTGTTGGTTTTGTGTTGTGGTTTTACCTGGTCTGCTTTCAGCTCCGTCAGAGTTCATTTTTTACCCTCCACAGGACCTACAGTGTGTCGTTAATGGCACAAAATTAGGAGTACATTCATAAATATCATAATAGATCATAATAATAATAGTAATGCATTGTAATTGACAGGGGTGTGACGATATATCAATTTTTCGATATATCGCGATACTTTCTCCCGCGATTTGATTATCGATATGCATTTGCCAAGTATCAATATCGTTTTGTTTTTTTTTACATTTGAAAAAAATTATTTGGTATCAATACTTAATATATGGCTACATTACGCATCTCCATTTCATTTATCATGAAATAAAGTGTATTTTTTCTTTTATTTAGGCCATGAATTGGCATATTGTATATTTCTGACCAATATATCGATAATCGTCATATCGTGACATCGTTATTGTGATAATATCGTTATCGTGAGCTTTGTATCGTATCGTATCGTATTGTGAGGTACCCTTAGGTTCCCACCCCTAGTAATTGATAATAATTGGTGTTGTATAGCACTTTTCAGACACTCAAAGACGCTTCACGTGTTATTATTCATTCACTCCATACACATATAAACTACTATCGTAGCCACGGCTGCCCTGGGGCACACTGGCAGAAGAGAGGCAACCAGTCTGTGCCATCAGCCCCTCTGACCACCACCAACCATTCACACACACACCAGACTCATTCCAGGCAATGTGGGTTAAGTGTCTTGCCTAAGGACACCACGACAGTTTGTCATTTTACAGCCGCAGCCGCCCCACTGTGACACCTGGTGTTTACAGAGGTCTCCCATCACAGTACTAACCAGGCCCTGCCCTGCTTAGATTCAGAGGTCTCATGGGATCTGGCTTTTACATGTAGGTGTAATAAATATATAATCAAAACTAAATACAAAACATTTTTATTATATTTTGATTTAATATTTTTTATATTTACACACTTAATCCAATTCAATTCAATGTATTTTTGTACGGCTCAAATCTAACAACAGTTGCCTCTTCGTGGACTTTACAAAGTTGTCAATTCACCAAAAAAAGATCAGAGAATCAAACAATTAAAACACAGGAAATGCAGTAATAATAAACACAAAGAAGCCCCGGGTGAGCTGGAGGAAGTGTGTGGGCGTCTCTGCTTAGACTGCTGCCCCCGCGACCCGGCAACGGATGAAGCGGAAGAAAATGGATGGATGGACATAGGAGCCATTGGTCCATAGCGAGCGGGATGACCATAAATGTTGACAAATGTCCGTAGATGTAAACAAATGTCTCGGATCCTCACTGTCCTTAGACCCTCCTGCATTTTTTGTTGATAATTTCATTGATATTATGTCACATTAGAAATCCAGTTTTGTTGCCAGGATCAACGGTGACACGTTTATAATTGACAAAGTACCACTAAACTCACAGCTGCAGAAGCAAATCATTAATCAGTGCAGCGTTATCAGCAGAAACGTGTCCTGCAGGATAAGACCGGAGCCAGGGTAAAGTCGACACATTTTGTTGAACCATGACGAATCACGCTACACACAAACTGTTGTTAAGAATTTACATTGAAAGAGTAACTAGTTTAAACAAATATCGTAATGATAAATGCTATAGAGACATTTGAATATAGACAAAGACCAGCATTATAAACAAATGTGTGTTTTTGTCCAGAGCATAGACTGTATAAAGAGTGGACTGACCGTAGCGTTAGCCTTAATCCAGACGAGGCTGATTTGAACATTAGATAGCTGGAGCCAATTTCCTGGAGCCACTTCCTTGTGTTTAAACTGTGCCATACAAATAAACTTGTCGTGTCACGTGGGCCAATAGACCTTACTGGGACATCTACAATGCTCCATGTCTTGGCTGTTTATGCTAAAACTATTATGTATTTTGTGTTATAATAATAGTTATTAACAAGTGGATTTCTGTATTTTCCGGACAATAAGCCACACCTGATTATAAGCTCTAATTTTAGTAAAGAAACTTAATTAAAATTTTGTACAAGCCACACCTATCCCACATTGTAATATTGGAAAATGTAGCTCACAAACTTTCATGATGTTCTTATTCTTGCTTCCGTCATGATTGCAACAACATCTGAACTCTGAACATTGTAAAGTGCTTTGGGTGACCTTGGTCTGTAAAAATGCGGTATATAAATAAACATTACTTACTTACTTATTACATTGCTTTCTGGCATTTCTGTCTTGTAATACATAGTTCCTACATGACGTCACTACATACGGGGATTTGCCGACCCGGCGACATTTGTGTTGGCATGCTGTGGGCAAAACAATAGAAAAAGAAGCTGAAACGTGTTAATGTCGTGATAAAGTTGAAAATGGTCATCTCCTGCTGGGTCAATGGATGTTCAAATCGTGCCGGAGGTTCCGTTAAACTTGGATTTTACAGTATACCCATCATTAGACTTCATGAATGTGAGAAGACTAAGCTTTTGTCAGAACAACCACGGAGGTTATGGCTTGCGAAGATAAACAGGCAAGAAACTCCCTCAAAACACGCAAGAATATGCTCGGAGCACTTTGTGTCAGGTGCGTATCGTATCTCATAATGTGTTGACAGACGTAATTTACTCAGTACTAACTTGTGTATGCTGATAGCTGGTAACTTGAGAGTTTCATTATTTAGCGTTAGATTACTTTATTATGAGGAGGATCGGTGTCGCGTCCGAGGCTCTCGAGGGCAACGTAAATGTATTAAATAGATAATAATAGTTCTATGGTGGGCTAAAACAATGTTCACAAACAGCATTGCTTCTGTAAAAAGATCTGTGTCATAAAATAAACTGCTCTTTACGCCTGGAAAAATCAGTTGCCCACCATTCACCAAAACATACGGTCAAAAACGCGGAAATAAACAATAACAGCAATCCAGAGTGTCCGTGTGGCATTAGCATTAATTAAATTAATTTTTAATATAATTAAAATAATTAAATGGAGCTCCAACTGGTATTAAATCTAAAGTTTTTGAGAAATGTTTGCATTGCTTGTTAATTTTTGCTGCATAATTTGATCAAATATGTAAAACATGTCCGTAGCACGTTAAACTGTGGTGCCATTGTATTAATATACAATTATTTGCTCAAAAGTTGCCCTTTTTTTCCAATTTGCGTTTGAATATCTACATTTATTCTCATTTCTTCTGTTTAATGGAATGCACAAACACAGCAGCGTGCCATCAAAGATGGCGTCTCCGAGGAGGTGACATTCATTGGTCTGTGGGAACTATGTATAGCAATCTCCAGTCCAAAAAGGTTGGAGACCCCTGCTCTTTATGTACCTGTGCTCTGTACATTTGTTGCTGGTCCCTGGTTCTGTTTGGATTTTTGTGTTAGGTTTTACCCTGGACTTTTATTTTATTATCGTCAATTTTTGTTTTGTTTTTTTACACCACGTGACAGGCAGTCCCCTCTTCCTCTTCTGCTGCTCTCTGCTCTAAGGGCTGATGCTGAAATGACACATATATGCCTGTGGGTGTGTGTGTGTAGGTGCATGTGTGTGTATATTTGTATGTATATGTGTGCGTGTGCGTTTGCGTGTGTGTGTGTATAGAGTGCAGTAGACGGCTTTGAATAATGCAAATACCATTCAGGACTGAGGCGGCGGTACATCCAACTCCAAAATAACACATAATAAATACATACACATACATCCTCCCAGGTTTCTACACTATCAGGGCAGGACCATGGGGCAGCAGGACCGTGGGGCAGGACCAGTTCGAACCATCACCATCACTGCTGACAGGCGCCTCTCCTCTGTATCCTGTACGGAGCTGCCCACAGTACACAGTCCACACCAGAGACACTTTCTCCGCTCTTTCTGACATGAACCACACAGACTTACCGCTGCTGAGTTGCGGGAGTATTTGCAGTTAATATTAGCGTCTCAGAGCATTGATTTCGCTGCTGTCACTGGATTATTCCGTGCTTTCTCTGCCTCGGAGGAGATGCTCGCCTTGCACAGCGATCACGGCTACCACCATTTTGTGTCACGTGACCTGAGCTTCTACCAAATATGGACATAGACTGCTACAGCTTCCTCTGGAGATGGGTGTATTATATTTACAGTCTGAGGAGATTACATAAGTCTATTACGGCCCGGGATAATAATACATCCATGTAGGAGACCACAGTGTGCTTCAGTTACACATTTATATCATTATGTGATTATTATTAGCCCTGTGACAGATATACTACAGTATTACTTTACTAATTACTGTAGCCATAATTAAAATAATAATAAGATAATAATTATGATAATAATATTTATGATAATTATGATAATAATAATAATAATACAATTATAATGATAATAACATTAGTAGTAGTAGTAAGCTTTATTTATATACCGCCTTTCACAAACCAGAGTCACAAAGCGGTTTACAATTGTTATTTTTTGGGCATTTGTCCTCTCACTCCACACAGAGATGGGAGCGGGGTCGCCGAACAGGAGGCGCATGCCAGACCTATTGTACATATTTTTAGTGGTAGGGGAAACCGGAGTACCCGGAGGAAACCTACGCAGACATAGGGAGAACATGCAAACTCCACTCAGAAAGGCCCTGGTCCAGCCGGGATTTGAACCCAGGACCTTCTTGCTGAGAGGCGAGAGTGCTATCCACTCAGCCACCGTAGCTTAATGACTGGACTATAAACCACTATAGTCACTTTTACATTTCCTGTTTGCACATTTCCTGTCTTTTTGCACACCCTGTGATCCTATTTATGCCAGATGTGACATGTAAATTTCTCCATAGTGAGATCAATAAAGTTAATCTCATCTTATAATAATGAAAATAATGATGATTATTATTATTATTAACCATCACCAACTACACTGTCATCAGTTGGTGATGGTTAGAACTGGCCCTGCCTGTTACTATTGCAACAACACTTCATCAGTATAGGGTCAAACTAACCTCATGTCTCACAATGGTCTAAACCCAGCTCACGTTCTATTAGTGGGTGAACAATCCAACACTTGTTGAACTCTGCTTCACAATGATCGGAAGAGCCGACATCGAAGGATCCAAAAAAACGACACCGCTATAATAACATAATAATTACGTGTTTAAAATATCGGTCAGACTGATCTGGTCTGAATGATAATGGCAACTACAATATTAATTATAACAATAAAAATACATTCTTTAATTCAAAATAAAGTAAACAAACAAGGTCCAATCGTAAATCTACAGTGACAACCCAATGCAAACATCCGACATAAAACATCCATCCTTCCATCCATTTAATCCATTTCTGGGTCGGGAGCTGGCAATCAGCGGCCACCCAGTCCACAGAGCACCAGCCCCTCACTGCTCCTCCTGCAGGTGGTGAGTCCACAGGAGGCTGCTCTGTCAGTGGGAGCTAGAGCCTTGATCTTTCAGCGGGGGCTTCAGGCAAAGTGTCTTGAAAAACATAATATAATACAATAGAAACATTTAACTTTCCAGCTCTCACAGAATCTTGGATATAAAAAGTACAGAGCAGCGACAGGCTAAATGGGGACGAACTCATCGATGAGTTGTTTGAACACAGTGTCCTCCACGTTCTTAAAGACTTTCTTTATGTTTCCAGTGTCGGTGGCACAAGTGAAGTGTGTGTAGAGCGGTGCGTGCCGGTGGCCGTACTCATCCCTAAACATTTGCCGAATGAACTGCTTTGCTGCCTCTGCGTCACACTTTGGACCTGAAAAATAACAATAATAAATCAGTTTTATATATTGCTTTTTTTGTCACTCAAAGACGCTTTGTCAGTATTCATTCAATCCATACACAGTGACGATGGACTACGACTTCAAGATTCAAGATTCTGCCATTTGCAGTAAAACCGCATTGGAGAAACTGTGCAAGACTACCCCAGTGTGGACCAGAAGGTCACCCTCATTTTCCCTAAATGAAGTGGATGTTGCAGGGGGACCCAAGACTGGTTCATGAAGGAGGTCTTTGATGGAGGGGATTGAACACACCAGAGCTCTTGGCACAGCTGCCCTGGGGCTCACTGACAGAGGCGAGGCAACCAGTATGTGCCATCAGCCTAAGAGACCCTCCTGCACCTGCAAGGAACAACTCTAGAACCCAGTGGGAAAAGGTGAGAAACCTCGAGGTCCACATTGAGAGAGGGAGCCGGGCTATAGATCCAGGACTTATATGCCTTTGGGAATGATCCAATATCACCTCATTGGTCAAAATAATGTGTATATTATGCTTCTTCAAATAGTTTTGACTGATTGTTTTGAATGAAAACGGTTTGCCTCAGTTCAAGAAGTCTGGGGAACACTGCGTTAGTTTGGCTCACCTGTATACTGCGGGAAGTACGTGTTCAAATGTGACTGAGGAATCTTCTCTTCTAGTAAATCTGTTTTATTTAGAAACAAAATAGTGGAAGATTCTTGAAACCAGCTATACGAAAGAATCGTCTTGAATAAGGACAGACTTTCCATCAGTCGATTCTGTTTTAACAAAGAGAGAATTGTGTCAAAAAAATGCAGCAAAACAAAAATAAACTGTTAAAGTCTAGTATTTTACATCTGTTTGGTTTTCGGAGATAGTTTGGTCGAATTCACTCAGAGCTGACAGATAGATAATGGAAGTGACATTCTCAAAACAGTGGATCCATTTCCTTCTTTCTGATCGCTGACCGCCGACGTCCACCATCCTACAAACACAGAACGAATGAGAATAGAAGAACCAGGGGGTTAGATCACCGCAGATCAGGAATGTATGGCCACCTGAAGGTTACAGAGGGCGTGGACGGCAGGCTGAATGGATACTCTATGATTCCGGTCGTGGGCACTCGGACTCTCAAGACGTCTTGGACCGTCGGGATGTATGACGGTTGTGCGATCCTGTCGAAATCACTCAGATAGCTAAATATATGTGTGGAAGAGAGAAAAGCGTAAATGGACATCTAATATAAAACATTTGGAGGTTTGTGGGAGGAGTTTCTTTTTTCCGGGTGGATCTTGAAGACTATTGGTCCTTCAGCAGTTTGGACTTCCCACTGATGCTTCGGTCGTGGAGTTTGTAATCGACAGGTAAAGTTTGACGTAAAGCCAGTGGCCCCGGAGCTACCTTTTTTGTTGTTGCTGTTTTTCAGTTGCAGTTATAATGACCAGTTTTAGCACTTATTAAAAGTCAGTAAATGTGAAAAAAAAAACCTATACATTACTTTCTTTTAATGAATCTGATGAAAAACTAAACATTTATTGGGAGAATTCTTCAGAATGCCATTGCTTAGATTAGAAGCAGTCAAAATGATGGCTCTGGGAGTTCTAGTAGTTTCAGAACACTGGCCGTCCTAAGCATTTAAAATCTGATGCTAAACGTACTATTTGGCGTTGTCGGAGATCTGGAACTCCCTTCGGCGGTCGTAGCACATCTGGACTCCGTGGTCGTTCCACACTTTCCCGATGGCCTCCGTCTGCCAGGGCTCCAGAGAGGACACCGTATGCACCTCCACCTGGGACAGTCTCTTTGAGTGAACCTGAGAACCACAGAAGAAACTAAACGGCATTTTTGTTTCAAAGGAAGACGTCATATTTTCAATTCAGAATCAGAATTACTTTTAATACCATTGTAAGTAACAGAAAGTCATAAACTAGGAATTTGCTTCGGCTCAAGGTGCAATCAAGCATGTTTCTAACGCTGTACAGATGTAGCCTGGTCTTACCACACCATTGTACTCATTTCATTTTGTACATATAGGGGAACAAATTGACCAGAGTTGACTGATAGCTTAGGCCAAGCTAGTACAAATGTAAACATACAACTATATGTTTCTTGCACTAGAATATTCAGTATTTTATCATTTATTCTTTATTTTGCTAAAGTTAGAGATTTTAATGTATTATTTGAGTTGTGATCATTTATCTTGTGTTGTGTGCTTCTCATTCCTACTCTTCTGTAAATGGTGATGCAACACTGAAATTTCCCCACTGTGAGACGATCTCTAAATCCTAATCTTAAAATGATCAGGTAGTCGGGATTTTTACCAAATTGTTGTCATCAAAATAGTTGATGTTGAGTGTTGTCATGGCGACGACGAGGGCCTGGATGGCGGCCACTACGTTCTGATGCACCAGGCGTCTGAAGTCCCTCCTGTCGTCTTCTTTGTATCCGCTGCCGTTGATAATCCGCATCTGTTTAATGAAAGTGCTTTTCCCACTTTCACCGGTGCCTGAAAAATTGGAATATGTTATGAATAAGAAAAACAAATGTATGCATTCAATTTGTTATTCAATAGAGATCCTTTTTAGATTCGTCTCACAGTGGGGAAATGTCAATGTTGCATCAGAAGTTACATGAGATAATATAAACGTTATTAATCTCACAATGGAGAAATGTACATGTCACAAACGTGTGTGCAAACATGTTAAAATGTTGAAATATAGTCATAACAGTAAGAATGAGGAGACACAAGATAAGTGTGTAAGCATAGCAGAACTACTTTAACTAAAATAGAATAAAATCTCTATCCTTAGCTTGATAAAGAATCCTGGTGGCTTTTGGCCTGTTGCGTATGTCATTATTCCATCTCCTCTTTAAATGTTTCTTTTCATCAAAAAAATAATTGATGAATATTTGTACTATGTAAAAGCTTTCACTAAGTAGTCAATTTGTTTTATCAGGTTCAATGAAATGGTGACTGCGTGAGAATGGATCCTGCCTTCCACAATATGTCGATATACCAATGTGGCTCCCCCGGAGGAAATACCCACCCTGCTCTAGAGCAAGAAATATATACTGTACTTGTGTGTGTACGTTTGTAGCTGAATCTGTAACAGACTCCAGTGTAAGAATGTCAAGGAAGTAAGTCAATAGCTCTGAAGGTTCAAATGTTCACCGTGATGTTACTACTGTACATGTTAGCATCACGTTATACTACTGTACATGTTAGCATCACGTTATACTACTGTACATGTTAGCATCACGTTATACTACTGTACATGTTAGCAGCATGTGATACTACTGTACATGTTAGCATCACGTTATACTACTGTACATGTTAGCAGCATGTGATACTACTGTACATGTTAGCATCACATGATACAACTGTACATGTTAGCATCATGTGATACTACTGTACATGTTAGCATCACATGATACAACTGTACATGTTAGCATCATGTGATACTACTGTACATGTTAGCATCATGTGATACTACTGTACATGTTAGCATCATGTGATACTACTGTACATGTTAGCATCATGTGATACTACTGTACATGTTAGCATCATGTGATACTACTGTACATGTTAGCATCATGTGATACCACTGTACATGTTAGCATCACATGATACAACTGTACATGTTAGCATCACGTGATACTACTGTGCATGTTAGCATCATGTGATACTACTGTGCATGTTAGCATCGTGTGATACTACTGTACATGTTAGCATCATGTGATACTACTGTACATGTTAGCATTAGATAGTACTACACATGTTAGCAACACAAAGGTGCAATATTACTATTCCTTTTTTGCATTGTGTGTAAATGCAGTACATGTTAGTAGCATGAGGGTGCAATAATATTGTACATGTTAGCAGCATGAGGGTGCAATAATACGGTACATGTTAGCAACATTAGGGTGTAATACTACTGTAGATGTTAGAACATTAGGGTGCAATAATACGGTACATGTTAGCATCATGTGTAACTACAGTACATGTTAGCCGCTTGAGGGTGCAATACTACTGTAGCGCATTTAGCGGAATGAATGCTCGTACTGATGCATGTGCCATATTTTCCTTTAATTTCCTTCGCACAAGATCACCGTAAGAGCTAAAACCATGAATACATCAAATCAGTAAGGCATACAAAAATCATTAAAAAATCTCATTTAAATACACACCTTTTATCCCCCTTTCAGCTATGCGCTAAACAGACAGTTCAGACAGGACCATCCCGAGTCCACACACCATGTCAACCTTTAGTACAATACGGAAGCACCCAAGTTGCCCCGACGAATTTCAAAATAAAACCAAAAAGGGGCGTTCCCTACACTCCCCACCAATCACGAGTAATTCAATGAGGGATTATAATAATCTGGATAAGCGTATGTTGGTTTTATCAATCATTATTTTTGTTCACATTTGCTTCCACAAGCACCACCAGTTTCTGTACAGGCCGCACAATCTCTGATGTCCTTGTGTGGCGTTCTCCACCGCGAGTAGGTCTTCGATCTCCAAGCATCAGCTTTACCTTTCTAACTAAGCCGTCCTTACTCGTTATAGTTTCCAAAACTCTTCCTAACTTCCATTCATTTCGTAGCACCTCATCATCCTTCAAAATGACAATATCTCCAACCTGGATATTTCTTTGTGGTTTATGCCACCGTTGCCTTACAGATATGTTGGCAAGATATTCCTTCCGCCACCGACTCCAAAACTGCTCTGACAAATATTGAACTTGTCGCCACTGTTTTCTACTGTACAGGTCTTCACGTACAAAATGACCTGGGGGAGGCAGGGCCCTCGTCGTCTTTGTAGTAAGTAGATGGTTAGGTGTCAGTGGCAGAGGGCCATGCGGATGATGTAATGTAGTAGTTGTTAAGGGGCGGCTATTTACGATTGCCATGGCCTCATAAAAGAAGGTTCTTAAGGCACAATCTTTTAAGCCTTTGGAAAGGTCAACAGTGACACGAAGGATATTTCGCACAGTTCGTATTTGCCTCTCCCATACACCGCCAGTGTGACTTGCTTGAGGAGAATTCATTACAAAATCACACTGTTTGTCTGCCAGATAAGCCGATAACTTCTCCTCATCAAGGTCCTTCAGAGCATTAACAAACTCATTCCTTGCTCCGACAAAGTTGGTACCCTGGTCACATCTGATTTGCCGTACTGAACCCCTGATGGCAATAAAACACCGCAATCCATTTATAAATGCATCGGTTGAAAGATCTTCTAGCATTTCAATGTGTATAGCACGTGAGCTAAAACATGTAAAGAGCAGACCATATCTTTTATGTTCCTTCCTTGCTTGTCTCGTGATGAATGGGCCAAAGCAATCCATACCCGTGTAAGTAAAGGGGGGCGATGGTGCAACGCGCTCAGGAGGGAGATCTGACATCCTTTGACTCTCGGTTGGTCTTCTATGGCGTCTACAAGTGACACATTTATGAATACAAGACGCAACTGCATGGCAAATTCCAATAACCCAGTATCCTCTACTTCGGATAGCATTTATAGTCATTCCCTTGCCCTGATGTTTAACAGCTTCATGACAGTGAGAGATCAGCAACCGTGTGAGAGGATGCTCTCGTGGAAATATAACTGGGTGTTTGACAGAATAATCAAGCTGAGAATGCTCGAGACGTCCTCCAAGACGGAGGAGCCCCCTTTCGTCAAGGACAGGGTCCAGAGGGTAGAGCTTGCTCCGCGCAGGGAGTTGATCTCCATTTTGCATCCATTTCAATTCTTCCGTGAAAGCGCCTTCTTGTATGTTCCTTATAATCCAGCATTCAGCTTCCTGTCTCTCAGTTACAGAAGAGATGCAGTTGGCCTTATTTCCCTTGACTCGTCGTAATAGTCTTGCAATGGCTCGGATGGCAGCTGCCCATGAAGAGAATTTACAGAGGCGATTAATCAGACTGCTGCAGGAGGTACCTTCCGTATGAAGTGCCGCAGCCTTTCGCACCTCTGGATCGTTAGGAGATATTTCTGGAATCTCTTCTGTGGCTCGCATGAAAAGATTGTTATCCCACAAGATCTTGGGCCCGTTAAACCAGTTTGACATTGAAAGTTCTTTGGGAGACAAACCTCTGGAGGCATGGTCTGCAGGGTTCTCCTCAGTTGGAATGTATCTCCATTGGTCTGGTGAAGAGGCAAGATGGATCTGTTGGATGCGATTAGCCACAAATGTATGAAATCGACGAGCCTCATTCTTAATGTATCCCAGAACTGCACGGGAGTCGGTCCAAAAGTACTCTGTTATCTTTGATAAAGTCAATTCTTGTTTTATTAGCCGACTTGCTTGAACCGAAACAACTGCAGCAGTTAACTCTAAACGAGGGATTGTTGTAACCTTTATCGGAGACACTCTGGATTTTCCCATGACTAAGGCACAGTGAACATTTTCACTCTCGTTCTGGAAACGAAGATACGAACACTGTCCGTATCCCCTTGTGCTGGCATCTGAGAAATGATGGAGCTCCACCTTGACAAATTTCCCAAACCGAGCAGGGACATACATGCGAGGTATTGAAATTTTAGACAGATAAGCAAGTTCTTCCTTCCACTTTACCCAATGGGGCATGTGCACTTCAGATATTTCATCATCCCATTTTACTCCATGTCGACACATTTCCTGCAGGATGGTTTTTGCGTTGAGGAGAACTGGTGCCACAAAGCCCAGGGGATCATATAGTGATGCTACAGTGGACAAAATCCCTCTTCTCGTCGCCGGTTGTTCTTTGAGATGTATGCGAAAGGTGAATTCATCTGTGTCAACGTTCCACTGGACTCCAAGTGCGCGTTCAAGTGGCAATTTTTCAAAACTCAGATCCAAGTCCTTAACATTAGGGGCTCGCTCAGCCTCTGGAATACTATCCATGACCACTCGATCATTCGACACAAATTTGTGTAGTCTGAGCCCCCCTTCAGCGCAGATTTTTATTGCCTCCTTGGCCAGTTTAATGGCTACTGCAGCGTCTTCAACACTGGTTAAGCCGTCATCCACATAGAAATCATTCAAAATGAACCTTGAAGCTTGAGGGAAGACGTCACAGTACTCCTTAGCCAAATGCTTCAATCCATAGTTAGCACATCCAGGGGAAGACGCAGCTCCGAACAAATGCACCTTCATACGAAATTTATTGGGAGGAGAGCACAGATCCCCGTCCTTCCACCAGAAAAAACGTATATAATCTCGATCCTCTTTAGCCACATGGAACTGATGGAACATTTTCTCAATATCACATAACAAGGCTACAGGGTGTTGGCGGAATCTGATAAGAATCCCAATTAAGCTGTTCATTAAGTCGGGGCCTGAAAGAAGGTGGTCATTCAAAAAAGTATTCTGGAATGCAGCAGAGCAATCAAAAACGACTCTGAGATTATCTGGTTTCTTCGCATGACGGACACCATGATGTGGGATATACCATGTTTCTCCTGGACAGCCTTCGTCATTGA